GAGAAAGGCTCGTCTAGAGTTTAAAGAAATATGTATGTTTCTTCTTTGCTAGATCAACCTCTTGGAAGGTCACTGGAATACATTTGAATACTTAAACAGTACTTATGTGTCCACCAGTCTTCTATATTTTAGGATCTTAATCCCTGAATGCACAGGGCCCTAAACGTCAGTACAACTCCATCCAGACGCAGTCTTCCATAGACTGACAGGCTGCCCACAGTGGGGCTGGATGTCACACCTTTCCCTCTTGGGCACACTAAAAACAGCAGGAGGGATGCATTTCACCTGGACAGCCCTTTATGCAGGGGGATTTACAGTGCACTTTTACAACAGATATTTGTTTTCAGTTTGCTTACATGTTCTATGACCATTTCTAATAGTTCAGTCAGAGAAAGTGATTGTATACTTTTGGATATAACTGGGGTGCATTTACTAAAGGCAAAGATGCTGGTCACTTTTCAAGGGAAATTGCTCTAATTGGTCTTATTTGCAAAGAAAACTGGATGATGAAAGTTGGCACAGCATACCCACATTTACTAAGTAAAATTACCTTACAAACAACAAAGCAGGGGTGTAGATAAGGGGGGGGGGGGGGGGGGGGGAGGGATTTGAACCCCCTCCCAGAGGAGAGCTGCCAACCATCCCTGGCTGCAGCCCTCGAAATGTGGGCTGGGCAGTGGGAAGAACACAGCGGCAGGAACACAGCGGTGGTGGGCAGAAAGAAAACAGTTCTGTGCAGCTGTGGAGGTGGCAAGCAGCGCCAGGACGAGGAGGGTGTGGGAGGGGCGGCGGTGGTTGTAGTGACAATCTCTTGTATGGCTTTCAATGAAGCAGCTGAAAGCCACAGGAGGGAGATAAATCAGTTTCCAGCTGCTTCATTGAAAGCCATACAGATTGCTGCTTGTCACCACAACCACCGCCGCTCCTCCCACACACCCCTAGTCCCAGCACTGTTCGCCCCCCTCCCACCGTTGCACAGAACAGTTTTCTTCCTGCACCCCATTCCCTCTGCATTCCAGCTGCTGTGTTCTCACTGCTCAGCCCCTCTCCCTCCATCCTCTGAACCAATAGGAGAAGAGGGGAGAGAGGCTGGATATGCTCCGCCTCCCCCGTGACTGCCCACACTCCAGTCCATGCAGCTTCAGAGGAGGTGTGGGCGGGAAACTTAACACAGCAGCCAACAGTCACAGCCCTGATACTTTTGAAGGAGTCATAGTGAGTTTTGACTTAACCTTCCTTCCACCCCCCCCCCCCTCCTTTTTTTCCCCCCTCCTTTCCTTTGCTCCACCTCCCCTCTCCACCCACTCCTCCTTTCCTTCCATCCACCTCTTCTTTCCTTCCATCCACCTCTTCTTTCCTTCCTTCCTTCCACCCACCCCTCCCTTCCACCTCTTTCCTTCCTTCCACCCACCCCTTCCTTCCTACATTCCTTCAAGGGGGAGAAGTGGGGGGGGGGGGTAAAAATGCTCAGCTGCGAGCTGAACCCCCCTCAGAAGAAAAAATTATCTACAGCCCTGCTACAAAGTGACTTTTCTCCACATTTACCAAGCATACATTCCACTGCATAACAGTCTATTTGCATTCAATAAATAAAGCCCATCTCCATGTCAAAATAAATAGGGGATTAAATTCTATTTTATACACCTTTTTGCACCATTGCATTTTGGTTCATTGCATAAAAACTTGCATATCAAATGTGCATTGCGTTTAAGACCATTTATTTAAATGGTCTCTAAATGCACCAGAATGCTCAAAAAGCATATGCTAAATTTTTTTGCAAAGCAGCACATTGCGAAACACAGTAGTGCGTTACCAAGGGTTGTGGTATACTGCAATGCAGGTGTGTTACCATGCATTGTGGCACTATTCAAAATGAACGGCATTGCAATACTCCAGCATATGTTGCTGTAATAAGCCCAGGAAAATGCACATTAAAGCACAGCAATAGTGTAAATCTAGCCTTACACTTAAGATTTCTAACTAATAAACAATTCCCTCCTCATTGTAGGATGTTCTGAAGCCATCAAGCCATGGTGTGTGGTTTGAATAGACTGGGCATTTGATATTCATGTTTCCTACATGTCTTATGTATATTAATTTTTTTGCCAAGTCATGTTGTTAAAATGCCTGCTAGATTATTGCTACCATTTACCTCACTGGTTTGCCTCTATGCTATATGTATTGGTGATTTTGGTTAAATTATTTTACTCTATTGTAGCTATAAGACTTCACAGTAAGCTCTGTGTTTCACTGTAATCACACTGCATTGGATGGCTGTGCTGTGCACAGCCATCCAAAGCAGTGTACGAGTGGACAGGGAGAACTGTATTGTTCACATAAAGTTCTCCTCCCTGTCGGAGATGCTTGGCAATCACCGGGTGCCAGCGCGTATTCACCAGCCGGGACCCGGTGATTGACAGCCATGGGCACGAATGGTGGCGCGGATAACGTGCACGCATGCCCCCTACCCGGACATGCAAAATCACTTCTATACACACGTTTATGTGCACCCACACCACCCTGTAGCAGTATTTGTAGCAATTGTGCACACAGAGATGGATGCGAACCTCCATTTTGGCAAAGGCCTCCATCTTGTATCATTTTCTACTCCCAAATCAGTCTCCCTCCTCTGATTTCCCCCCTCCCTCAGGAATGGGGTCTGTGTGTGTATGCTGAGTTCAAAAGGCAACAGGACCCAGTGGGAGAGCTCCATGGCTATAAATCCCAACCTAGCTGGTGCCCAGATGTCTGTAAGCTTCGCAATCTGGGATATCGTAAAGCCATAAAAGCAGTCTTTCACTGAGCTTCAAAGACATTCCAGGTAGTCGTAAAACGGACTCACATTTAAAAATCCCCTTTTCCTCTATGATTTCATATCTTGGAATATAATAGACTTACATAAAAACCAGGCATATATTCAGATGGGTCACTTTAATACAAGTTGCCTGATAGCTTACATCCCCAAGCTGGCATCTACAGGAGAGCAGAAAACGATATGTCCTTAACCGTCCCAGCAGGTATGTCATATTTCATATCTAGACGTTCAGCAGGTGATTCTGCATATTAATCTACTCGTGGATAGAATGTTACATGTATCCAGGGAAAGTTATTGCCCTGGTATCAAGTTCGGAGGTTGGTTCTAGCTTAGGTCTTCGCCCAACACCCTCCCCCAAATGAGGCGATTGGTTCTCTGCTTCAAGGAGACACCCTGCTGAATTCCTAGACAAGCCATTATACTTGGAGCTAAGCTGAAGAATTCTCCCTTTTAACATCAGAACCAACTTTGGGAGATAAAAGGCCCTTTTGCTCAGGAAACTTGATCGGCTGACGTGTGTGTCATCTTATTCTGTAAATATTGTTATTGCACCCTTTTTACCTTTTAGTAATAAATCTTACTTTCTGAGAGTGTTGAACTGTTTCTAAAGCTCTTTAATGCAAACTAAGGACCCCTGTCTCTGAAGAGCGCTACTGTGTGTTTTAAACTTCTGTATATCCCTACCTGCGGTGACAGCGGTATACAGACGCTTAGGCAAACATAGTGTTATTGCTGATATTGCCGAGTTTCCTCTTTCTCTGTACAAAAAGGAGGTGGTGGCAGTGTGAAGGGTTAACCTAACCCAGTAACAATCGCTCTCAGGCTGCAGGTACACAGATTGTGGTCCATTAGCTGGAAAAAATCTTTGTGGCAGGTGCAGCTGGGCCTTGCATTGTTACGCACGTGACAGCGCGGTTTTAGATTGGCTAGTCCTTCGGTCGCGAGTTTGGTGAGAAGGGCTGGGGTCTGACGCCGCAATCGTCACAGTGTTATCTGCTATAGGGTGGTCGGGAAGCGGTTAAAGACTTCCTTCATGTCTATTGGCACAAATGTGTGCTTTATGCCCCCGCCATCATCACTGCCAAGGCAACCATCAGAAATTTTGGGGGCCCTTACACAGCTTTTGGCATGGACAGCCACCCCCTCCATATGCTCCTGGGGCAGTGTCTGTGCATTAAGATAGATCTGGGCCCTGGCAGACTGGCCCCTCAGGATGTCCAGGCCCCTTACACCTGTACAGGTTGTCCACCCCTGTTGGAGGCCCTGATCACAGCAACAGCATTGCAATGCTGCAGTTGTTGCAAACTGATCACACACCCTTACCATGACAATGTGTTCCACAAAATCACTTTTCTATAGACAAATGCTACATGCCTTCACCATTTATGCCTTCCCTCAAGTAATCATGCACCATATAAGACCACAAGACATACCTGGATCTGCAGAACTTCCACCCTACATGACAGTACACAACCATTAATGGTAACACTATAGAGTTTCAGCTAGAAAACAAGGCTATAAATAAATCAAATGAAGATTTGTTGACCAACATTTAACATTTTTAAAATATCAATGCAGTAGAAAATTGTAACCGATTTGTGTAGCCCTTTATTAGCAACTAAAATAGAAGGTATTTGTTGTACAACACTGGTAATAACCAACTATACATGGGTTGTATTATATTCTAATACAGGATAAAGGATAATTTATAAATGCATTTTTTTTAATTTTTTTTTTATTAAAAAGCTTCCACCCTTTATTTTTGTTATAATTTTGTTTCGTTTTACAACTTGCAAAACTATTCTGAAAGCTGAGTACATGTGCACATATCTGCAAACAGTGCAAATTTAGGTTATGGTAAAGGCTAACTTATTCCATGTAACTAACATTGTATAATCTTCTGCCACCACCTGCCATTAGTCTTCAAGGTCACAAACAGTTTGACACAACTTCTGATACTATAACCAAGAAAGCAATTCTTGCTTCAAATGGAAGTAAACGAAGAAAATCATGATAGGACTACACCTAAAAGAAAGAAAAAGGGAGGATATGAACTGGGTTGAGCTTCCTCTTAATCCCAGAGCAGAGCAGCACTGTGCAACTGCTTGGCTATGACCCCATGGACAGAAAGAAAACGTTGTGTCGGCATTGTGTTCCGAGGTGGCATCCCTGAGAGCTCAGTGCTTCAATGCACCACAAGTGCTCCAGCAGCATAACTCACTGAACTGTCCTGCCAGCTTCGGCACTGGCTAGACTGAGCATAGTTCAAAAACGAGAAGCTCATGTTAACTCCATTCCTTCGGAGCTCTGTTGCAGCCTTGAAGAGAAAAAAAAAAATTGAGTGTTATTCAAATTAATCATTAATATGTTAGGAATAAGATATATTTTTATTTCTTCATAAGCTCAGACCACGATAGATTATAGTTTTCTTGGTAGAAATAGATGTTGATATAATAGATGTTTTAATGGTGCCTTAAGCTGGCCACGTTACAGTTTAAAGTATATTGTGCAGAGATTGTAAACCTAGTTACCAAAACTATGCAACATGAGCAGTCCACTCAGTTTGTATACAATCGTGCAGGTCCTTACACTACATTTTCGTTAGTAGATCTAATTGTACAGACTGCAACATGGTCAGTTTTAGGGGGGTAGGGAAGGCTACTGTAGTCTACTGCATACATGCAATTTAAATGTGAATATGGAAAGCCCGTTAGTGTACAAGAGTCCCAATATGTTCAGTCTAACACAATCAATAGACAAATGCCAGTGAGCTGATATAGGCTGTGTCAAATGGGTTCCTTAGTGGGTGGCAAATAGCTGCTCTACAAGCATTTTCTAACCAACCCAAACATTTATGTATGAATACCAGTCACACATTCTGATCCATCAAACAAGGTTTTTTTCATTAACTTATTTTGACAACATAAAAAGCTACAATATATTTTACTGCATTTATGCAAAGATTTCACTTTATTCGACCCCAAATGTGGACTAAAATGTAATAGAGGTCAACTGTGTATTATAAGACTGCTGTAATATTTCACCATATCATGCTAGATGCAAATTACTTTGTGAAGATCATGTGGAAGTATCAAAACCCAAACGCATTCATGTTTAGGTCTCTAGCCATTGCTCTAGTGACTTTAGTTATACAGCAAAAAAAGAGTACCTAGCCCAGCATACCATACAGAAATAACTGCATGTATGTTTACAGATGCTATTCATTGTGGTCCTGTTGTACACCACGAGATGTTCATAAAGATCGTGACTTCAGAATGGAGGTTGATGAGCACATTGAAATGCCACATTTTTTCTTTTGATTAGATACTTCTGGCAAAGTGTTATTAAAAGCCCTTAAATGCACTTAAAGGATTCTATGTTTACAGCATACACGTTTATTTAATAACACCAGCATTGTAATAGCAATACAAAGTTATTTTTGACAAGCTGATGTAAGCTTACTTGAGTAATGATGGACTTTAGATGCATGTGTCCCTGCAGGATTTTAAGTGCAGGACAAATAGGAAATCTGTCTCATCTCATCTGTCTGATGCATTGAGGCAGCCTCTAAGGACTACATCCAGGCAATGAAGAGAGATTTTTGGATTGGGCATAAGGTGGATAGGACTATGTTCTCACTGAGGTGGAGGACTGATAACTTAGGAAGAGAAAATGGTCTTGGGCAGAAGACAACCTTGGCATTGTGAAAGATGAGAAACAGCTCCTTACAAAGAGCCATCAGCTCAGACATGTCTAATGTAACAACAAAAAAGCAGCAGAGGTCATCTAAGGGAATATCCCTGGTGGTTTCAGAGTGGTTTCTGCAGGGCAAAGATACCCAAGTTGAGATCTCAAGGATGCACAGGGTGTTTTTTTTTTTTTTATTTATTTTAAACAAGGGAGAGCAAAGCCAGAAGTCTTTGAAAGGACATATTCCACCCTTGTCCATTCTTTAAGACCTGATTGTAGGCCAGAATCCATGGCAGGGTATTCAGAGTAAACTGCCTGTGTTCACACCAGGCAAAGAAGGATGTCAGGTATAGATATTTCTGGATTTGGATTTTCTAGCTTTCAGCAAGGTAGGAATAACAGACTCAGACCACTATAAAAGGTCTCTTAAAGACATGGGCAAACATTGCAAACAGACTGAGGAGCAGGATGGAATAGAGGGCCTCGAGACAGCAGATCTGGTCTGTTAGGGAGAGGCCTTGTGCTGTCTTCTAGAAGTCAGTATGTCTTTGAACCATGTTCCTCTAGGCCAGTCTGGTGCAATAAGAATTACCAATTTCCCCCTCTCTCTGCTCTTTTAACAGACAAGGTAGAAATTCCACTGTAGGAAAGGCATAGTCTGAAGACTAGGTAAATAATAAGAGATCCAAAGTCAAGGGTAGCACAACCTTGGTCCTGGTCAAAATAATAGTTGTTTGACTGTAGACATCCTAGGCTTCAAATTCAGTCCCCCTTTTCTAACATTGAAGATATCTGGGTAAGGGGCCATTCCAATGGATCCAGATGGTGTCAGCAGAGTTATTCCACTTTCAAGTTGTCCAAGCCTGGGATGTGAACCCTAGGGATCAGATCACTGAATAGTGAATTTCCATCCATGAGATTATCTGGTTTGTCTCCTTCAAGCCTACATGACTTCTGGGGCCCCATTGATGGACGAAGTATATCATATCCATGGCACTATATAACTGGCACCCTGATTGTCTTTGTAGACGGAAGATCTAGTGTTGTAGATCCATTTGTACTGCTCAGAGCACCAGGATTTTGATAGGGAGCTTAGTTTCCATGAATGACCAATGTTACCTGGATCATGAAGGACACACTCCTCCCCAGCCTGAAAGACTTCTCGTGATAAGGAAGCAACGATTTCCCTGTTAAGCCTAGGCTTGAGACCCGCTGAGTTAGAGAATTCCTTGTTTGGCTGAAGGAGCATGGGTAGGTCGAGAGAAGGAGCATGCTTGTTCCAAGTTGACAAGATGTTGTGTTGGAGGCCTCCAATGAAATTGGGCAAATGGTACAGTCTTGAAGGAGGCCATAACGAGGTCTAAAACTCTCAAAGAATCTCATTGTGAGAGGTTTCTGACCTTAATTCTTGAGTGTGAGCTCAGAGACAGAATTTTCTAATCTGGAAGGAAAACCTCTTATGGTTCAGGCATTCTGCAAATCTGACTGTCCTTAGGCAGTTTTGGTTGATTCAAAAGAAGAAAAATCAGTGAGGTGTGATGCGTGTTTTACCATATCACACTACTCCCCCCTTTTTTTAAAGCAAACTATTTGCAGTGTACAGACACTTCATTTATATCACTGCACAGAAGTGTTGTGCACTGCATTTCACTGCAGTGCATGGACATGCAGGACCAAGCAGAGCGATATTTTGCAAACATGTAGCAAAATATTGCACTGCTCTGGAATACAATGCAACACTGACTTCAGGTCTCAACACAACACACAGAAATTTGTTTTCTATGTGTCTGCAGTTCTGTGTTTGTCCATGTAGAAAAAGCAGGTAACTGCACCTAGTGTGAATAGGTCCTTAAGCAATCATGGCATGAGAGGCTCCTGCTTTGGGTGTAAAAGTGGGGGAAAAATATTTTGCCCACTCTAACACAGCTTCTATACCCTCCTCATTCCCTTCTGTGTCTGCATCATCTGAAGCAGGCATATCGGGTTCTGACCCAGGAAGAGTTAGAAGAGCTGGAGAAAGCTTGTGGCCTTTGTAGCTCTGAATAAAGATGGCTGTATAAAGCGGTTATTGTGGAATTGTGACAGACAGAAAATTTGGCTTTTGCCACGTAGGTCACTAGTTGTGTGGCTAAGGCAGTTAGGGAAGGCTAAGAAGAAATGGGTGTTAGGCTTGGTTCCTACTCTGGTACAAGGGAAGAATCAACTCTGTGAGCTTGAGTGTTGTGGGGCCTTCAGCAGACCAAGCCTGTACCAGCCTATAAACAATGGTCTATCAATATATTGTCTGTGTCCTGTAGAATTAAGATATAGCCTTTCACGTTGTGAGTGCTGCCAGTCTGCTGGTCATCTTTCCACACTTTCTTTGACTACCTGCATGCTTTGCAGATTCTCCTCTGCTGTTTACTTTACATTTCCAAGGACTTCATATTTCATGGGACCTTGCTGCCTTCAAACTGATTTCCATATTCTGCATCCTGACACTCCTCTCATTGCCACCATAGTTCAGAAGGCAGATTCTGAGTTCTGCGATACAGCAGTGCCTACTCACAGATCATAGTAAATCCATGTCACAGAATTCAGGAAGGAAGTAAATGTGTGGGACTCTTCAAAAAGTTTACAAACTTCAAGATTTCTCAGATTAATAAGAATAGCCTGCAAATAATTGAAATACAATGTGTATTTTCACCATAAATATACAAAACAAAAAGGACATGAGCTCTCCACTTATCTCATAAGGTTTCTTGGTTCCATTTTGCTGCCCATATACTAGTTGGATGTGCAAGGTCAGTTGTTCAGCCTTCTTGAAATCCTAATACAATCATCTAATGCTAATTACACTCTATTGCACATTCAAACAATCAATCAAGCGGATTGAAGTCCCATTCATGTGTATCCTTTATCTCAAGAGGGGAAAAAAAATAAATTGCTGTAACTGCAGTGCAAGTTGAGAGTTTTGCTTCAATGTGTTAGTGTATCTAAATCTGCTAGTCCATCCAATTTTTCTGTGAGTAATAACCAATGTCCTTTTGGTTGGTAGTGTTTTACGATTGATGACTTTATAAAACACAGAACACCAGATTAAACAGCAAAAGTCCATATAATAGTGAATGTAGTAATCCCATACAACTTGTGATATACATCACTCCCAGGTCAGTCCTGCAAGAACGTGCAAATAGAAAAACACCTCTCTGAATTGACCCCCACCAACAAAGGTAAATATTCCTACACCAGATGTACTCCTTTCCTTTTTAATCAGCAAGGACAGACTCTTGGAGAATCTTAGCAGCTCAGGTGGATGAGTTGATGATTCAGTGTGTTAAAGACAATGAGAAAATATTTAGTGCTCACTGTTCATTTATTTATAAAAGCATTACAATAGAAAGCCACCTACATGTAGTAAAGACCAAACATGAGCATACAGTATATAGCTTTAAAAGGTTCCCATTGGCAACCGTTGTGGTGGATTGCAATGGCCCCCTGACAACATCACTACAACAATAGGCCTAGGGCTGGCTTCACGGTACAGAGAGAGAGCATAACCTGACAATACAGGCTTACACTGAAGGATCCAATCTATTGCCATCCACCAGGATGATTACAGATGGGAACGTTTTATATGCACCTGTGGTCTTAAGACATGTGAGTAGCTTTCTATTCTTATGCTTTCTTTAAAAAAAAAAAAGCACAGTGAGCACTATAAAGGTTCTCCTTGTCCTTTAACATGTAAATACACACCCACTCATCCACCGGAGCTGCTAGGGATCTCCAAGAGTCAGTGTCCTTGCTGATTAAGAAGGAAAGGAGTCCATCTGGTTTTGGAGTGCATACTGACCTTTGTTGTGGGGGTTCGTACAGAGAAGCTGAGAGTTTGCCAATAAGATTCATGTGATTGAGGTATTTTCTACTTGCACATTCTTGCAGCACTTATCTGGGAGTGATATCACAAGCTGTATAGGACTACTACATTCATGATTATATGAACGTTTGCCATTTTATGATTGGTTGATAGTATTTCCCAATTAAATGATTGCTGAAAACACCTAGAACACTAGATTACAGACATTAGTTAGTAATCACAGATAAAGTATTGGTAATAATGCAGCATTTATTCTTTTATATACTTGAAACAACACTGTCCACTCTTCTATTCTTCCATCTTAAGTATTTCACCGTCACCAGTTGTTCCAGTTATGTGACCCACATAAAAATGCAATGTCAAAATTGGCTCAAGTCCCCTTTAAATGAAATCCTGTATGCTCTGCTAGATTTGTCACTAGCACTCCTCTCCTCCACAATGCAGCATCAGGAAAGAAAAAGCAAACAGCCCATAGTGCCTTACCTTTTAAGAGGCTTTAGCCACAAGCACTCACATCATCATGTACACAAAGCACACTACCATGTACAATCATCAAAAACAGACATACTGCCGGTATTCAGCTCCGTCTGGCTAAAATAAGTACCGAACTTCCTGGAACCTTCATGCGTGGTGAAGTCACCGGAGAAAGGCCATACATTTGAGATCATACACAGAGGTTCCAAGAAGTGCGCCGATCTAGTAAGGCCGGCTAGAGCGTAATACCAGCAATCTATTTTTGATGTCTGAACATGATAGTGCACTTAGTGCACGTGATTATGTGAGTGGCATTTTATTTCTGTGGGAATAAAGCATTTTAAAAGGTTAAGTGCTATGGACTGTTTGCACCAGTGTTTGTTTAAACTATAGCATAAGGCAAAAAAAGCAAAGCAATGCAATCAATAACACACAAATCTTGAATATATCCTGCAAAAAAAGTTCAGGTGCATCAGTCTTTATGCGTCTTACATATGGGAGTGTTTTAGCCCCCCGTTCACACCAAAACAACTTGTTATGCGATCTGAAGTTTCAATTTGCATGGCAAATCGCACCCTATTTTCAGCAATGGAACCATTCAAATTGGTGCAGACTGAGTATGCAGTGCTGCACAGATTTGAAAAAAAAAAACGGTTTTGCATAGATGTCTGTGCATGAAGTCGCACAGATATCTTACAAACCGCACTGACATGCAACTTTGAAACCATGTGGTTTCTTCCTATTCAGTGTGAACCACGGCTTAAGGTGTAAGCAGCTTGTCTCACATTAGTTTGTTTTTAGTACAAAAAAAAAAAAAAAACCCCCAAAAAAAACCACACAACAGCTCATAGGTTTGGTTTTTTTTTCCCCACTCATTCTACTGTATCTATGGAGGGACTTGTCACCTTAGGCTGACTCTTGATTTGGACTTCATACATGTCCTCTGTTCATCTCTATTACATTAAGGGGAGGGGCTTGTAGTTTAAATACGATATCCAAGAAGGCAAGATAACATTGCTTGAGATTTCATATCACAGCAAGCAACACGTACACTGGCACTAAGCTGCAATATATTACATTTTTTCTTGGGTTTATATATGCTACTTAAACTTGCTTAATGAGATTAGAGTGGAACTTTTCTTAATATTTGTGAACATGCATTGAACCTTCGTGCAGAAGAAACATATAAAAAGGTATATTCTGCATTAAAGTATTTAGTTACTGGCTTGTTATCAAATGTACACTGAGCTGTACAATTTCAGCATCTGCGGAGATAAAAATGCCTGCGCATGCACTCAAGTGACATCATACCGGCTTGGCCGATCAAAATGGACAAAGATTGGAACCTGGCAGAAGACAAGCCGAAATGCCAGTGACTGGCGAAGGGGTTTGTAAACATGGCATTGTTGGAGTGAAGTAGAGTATAGTTCAGCTTTAACCCTAGGTTCACACCTAAGCACTTTCTGCAGCGTTTTGCAGAAATGCAGTACAGTCCATTTAACATGATTTCCTATGGGAAAGGTTCACAACTCCGTGTTTTCACCCAGTGCGTTTTTTTTGGAAAGGGTCAGGGACTTTTTTGAACACAAAATGTTGCGTTTTTGGTTCTAGAGACTTCAATGGGAACGCTGCAGAAAAGCATGTATTGTATTTTTGCTGCGTTTAAATTCTGCCTAGCAACAAGAAAAATAAAAAAAATGAAAAAACAAACCGTAAAACGCATAAAAAAAAAAAAAGCGTCAAAAACGCAATGCAGAATCATTTGCAGAAACGTATCAAACGCAACCTTCAAAGATGTGAACCTAGGGTTATAGTTGTTCTAAATGTAAAGATCTCTACTAATAATCAGCAGAAAAAAGATTTGCTGCTTCTGCCTTTCTAGCTTACAGATAAACCATATGAAACATTGCCCAAGACTCCCATAATTCAACAAACTATTAATTTAAACAATGGTCTCCAGATTATCTAAAGGCTTGTAGTTCACATTTAATAAATCTCAAAAGGAAATTCAGATAAGAAATACTTGGCTGAAATCTGATGGAAACATACTAATGCTGTAATGAAGAGTTGGAATCGTTTCAATATACAGAAATACAGATCAAGTTTTTCATTAATTTTTGCGGGGAAAGATATAGGTCTCTGAAACCTCAGACTGTTTTAGGATTTAGAGTATAACAGAAACTGCCAACAGCGTAGATTTACTGAATAATAAGATGCTGATAAATAGGTTATAAAACAAAATGATACTCACGTTTAATAACACCCCAATAGGGTGTCTTCCACATATAGTATTATGATACTTCTTCAAGTAATTACTAAATGGCACAGGATCTAGTTGTTCTATAATACTCATACCCTGAAAAGGAAGCAAAAAAGTCTGTAAAAGATAAAGGTGTAGAAAAAAAAAAAAAAAAATTACATCTTGCTTTGTGGACTGGTAAATTATTTATAAGAATTCACCAAAGGGCCCTTGCTAATTCTAAGACACTTTCCACAATTTTTTCCATCTTTAACAAAAAAAAAAAAAAAGAATTTAGTTGTACTTATTATCTCATACTATATGTTAAGCTTATCAAACACGGTTTGAATTTCAACCCATTCTGGATAGTGGTAGTAAACTCCTGATATTTATTTGTACCTACAGATAATCTTATAATAAAACTTACCTGTAGGTAAAATGAATATATCCTAAATGTGCACCATTTAGGAGATATTAGCTTGCTTGGCAGCCAGTTACGTCACCAAAATCATGCACTATGAAGGAACGGCATGCCGCGGCTTCTGTCCACATGCCTACTAACCCAGAAGGAAGACCAGGAGAAGATGGAAGCCTCTGCAGTGGTGACAGCGCAACGCTGAAGGGCTTCGTTTTTAGTCAAGTTTTTCATAATGTGCTAGTATGTGATGCATACTAGCACATTATGCATTTACCTTGCAGGGAGAATTTTTTTTTTTTTTTTTAACCTAAGTTTACTATCACTTTAACAATTAAAGAAACTGGTAGGAAACTTTATGACAGCTGTTAGAACACAACAGCTACAGTGGGAGATTTATTGATCCAGGTTGTATAGCATGGATGAAGGAATCAGTTAAGATTTTTCTTTTCTCCCTGAGTATATAGACAGTTTTGGTCAGAGGACATAAATGGAGAAAAAAAAAAATCAGTTATGTGCTATTTATTAGTTCTTAAAAATGACTTCAATCTACTTTCAAACAATAAACTACTAATTTCAGAACATACTTTTCATGCTTATAAGCGAGAACATGTACCCTGGGTGCCACCCCTATAACCCTACACCACTCCGTGAGTCCTCAGTTTTGCAGCAAGCAATGTAGACTAAACCAAGGAAAGGAAGGGTGGCCTGTGGCATGTACTCCAAGACATGGAATTTACAGGCAATTCAAAATTCCTTTTATCTTAGTACAGGTTACAGGCAGAATATTCACACACCATGGGATGTCCCCAAGCAATGAATAGGAATAGCAGGCAACAATGAGGCAACCCAACAGTGCCGCTGCAAGGACTTTATGGCCAAAAGCTACATCAGCTGAAGATGGGAAGGCCATTTGGTAAACCTTTTGAAAAATTAGAACAGAAGACCAGATGGTGGCCTTGCAAAAGTGGCCTACAGAGACTTGGTGCCAAAATGCCCCAGAAACTCCCACCAACCTGGTGGAATGGGTGCAGGAGATCTCACTGAGAATGTAAACTCTTGCCATCAAGATTTTGCTTCATGCAATCATGCAATAGTGTACTTTGAAGCAGGGTGTCCCTTGTGAGGTCCAGAGAACAGGACAAACAAGGAATCCACCCGTCTGATTGCAGTAAATTTGAGGTATACCCTAACAGCTTCCAAGCATTCCTTTGGATGCTTAGGAGCAGGACACAAAGATGAGAGAAAAACCTGGAAGGAAGACCGGGAAAAGCTGGAAGTGCCTGGGACCTGCATTGCTGGAGGACATAATTGACAGGTAGGTCTGTCACAATGTGCTAATATGTGGTGCACTGTACAGTGGCACATTATAGCATAAACTACCTTGGGGTCCACATGAAATTTAAAAAAAAAAAAAAAAAAAGTAGGGGGGAGGAGGAGGAATTGTATTCCACATTGGAAAAGCACACAAAAATATTCTTTTGCCAACACTTTTACGTCTCAAAAGCTAGCCAAAACCTTACTCTGCAAACTAAAGATTACTTTCATTGCCCAAACCGCAGTAATATCCCAGGCTCCATGTGTGACCTACAATTGTTATGAATGATTCACAGCTGTTTAAACAACCTCACCTGGCACATCATCAAATACAAAGATCAAAACTGGATTTACAAAGACAAAATAGCCCCTCTTCAACTCCTTCATAACCAATGTAATTGAACCTTTTCATGATGAAGCAACATTCTGTAGGTTTTAGCTATGTAGAGTGGTTAAAGTTACTGTTAAGCAATGTTCATATTTATTTTCAGGGCATAGGTGGCTTCCAATTAAGAAGTATCTTGCAACATCTTTAATTTGCAAATGCCAAGAGGTAATGTACGAATATTGGATAGCCCATTGTATGTACCTTGCGTATGAGCATCCTTCAACCCTTTCCTTGCCGGGTCCTGCCCTCCACTTTTAACCTCAGGTGGCCAGAACATTTTTACAATTTTCACTTCATCATGTTTCACTATATTTATTTAGCTTTGAAAGCACTGAAAATACCCCAAACCATACATTTTCTGAAAGCACCAGACCTGATTTTGTACATCTCGCAATGGTTGCAAATGTTTGGATAAAAACCATTTATGTACTAAAATCATTATTAGTGCACATATCCAATCCATCCTTCCTCCATCCACCCATCACCCTCCTCCACCATCACACATAGGAGACACCATCCTCACCCGGTTCCCTTGCTCCATGTGACTGGTCTGCTGAAACCTCCTCCGTAAGCTGCTCCTTGCTGTGGCTGCACTCCTGCCTCCACCAGGTACAAAGCAAGGTAAAGCCCTTCGCTGGGATATTGACAGGTTTTAATTAAATGTGCACTAAGCTGTTGGAGCCTCCAGAGATGATGGCAGACTGGGCGATTTGATGAAAGAGGTAGGCTGGCTGATCCTATATTGGGAATTGCCGAAGGAGCATTTGACCATTTATAATCTTATGGTCCCAACGGATCTGGTAAGAGGCCTCTATCATTGGTGATTCTTGGTGGTGGAGTTTTTTAAGCATATTAAAGCGTGCACTATTACTAATGGATGAGTTATGTATATTTTTCCTGCACAAATTCTTCCTTGTGAAGCGATTACAACTGCACATACACGTGGGACTTTACTGTTCATATTCATTTATTAACACATGGACCATTTATGGACTTTTCACATATGATTCATTTATTTAAAAAGGTATACGGTTATCAAGCACTTTTTTTTTAATTGATTAAAATTATTAATAGTGCGCATAAAAGCAACTTACAAAAATTCAACTAAAAGATAAAACTGAATTGAGTTTATATTTGTAAATTTTTGGATAGAAGGTATGCAAACTGTAAATGAGCAACTTGCACTAAAAATGCATGCGATATATACGAAGTATACTTTCATAGTGCACTAGTCATGAGCAAGCAAGCACAGTGGGAGGGGATTCGAATGCAGAACAGGGTTGGGTGAAGCCGGCAGGTAGGGAACACATGGTGCAGTGATGGGGTGGGGTTCCAATTAGTGGTCACAGCTATTTATTAGTGAGAAGATTCTGGGGCACTCTTCTGTTATATGCTCATGGTCACTTAAACGACCATGAGCTCAGAGAGGAAGGGAATGCAGTCAACATAGGGCATACATAGCGGACCAGCTGGAAGTGGTTCTGTTATGGCAGTGGCATGAAAAGGCCATAATTTTATATCTATCTCGTCAAAAGATCTCTACACTTTTTTCTGACCTTCCTACACTGGAACAGACAAGGGACAGGACCACAAACTTGCTCAAATCCTGCCACTCTCCATACACTTTGTAAAGCGTTGCTAAACTTACCGTTCCTTCAATGGTCCGCATTCCTCGCCGGCATCTTCTGCTGGGTGTCGGTCTTCAGTCATCTTCATTGGCCAATGTGGGATGACACCATAATGCTTGCACCACTCAGTGTACATTGCAAAAAAGACTGCAAGCAGGCAGGTAGGTTTTCTTTATTGCAGAAGAGAAACACAATAAAGAGCCTGCCTGCTTGCAGTTTTTGACAGAGGGACATTTGTTCCACTTTAAAGTGGTTGTAAATCCTTACATGTACCAAGTGAAGTGTCTTGCCTCAGGTGATACACAGATGAAACAAATCCTCCTACACAAGTTGTACCTCAGCAATCGTTGCTCTACATACAATCAAAATCTATATAATTTATACAGCTTTCTGAGCACTGAGAAAAAAAAGGGGCAGACAGCTGAAGTTACACACTGCAGAGATCAGTGAGGAGAGCTCTGACAGCTGATTGGAGGGAAGGAACACACCCCCTTCACACAGCACACAGGAACAGAGCTGGGGCTCCCTCCCATGTCACCTTTTTTCCCTTGGTGTCAGGAAAACTTGTCAGAAGTGATTCATACTATATCATGCTATATATTGAGTCCCAACTCACATTTGAAAATCTTTCAGCTCCCTTTTCTACTAAATATACTATCTCTTCTCTCCTGCCCTGGGTATGATGGGTATAAGCCTTCTGAAACATTTTTAAGGATCACCTCTAACCTATCCTAAAAAGGACACCATTAATGCTGTATCACCAAACACATCCTTTTTCAGACAGCACAAGAAGCCCATATCACCCCGATCCCCAAACATTGTCAAATTTCTTAACCATTTAAATACTGGACACTTTTACCCCCTTCCTTCCCAGGCCAGTTTTGCAGCTTTCAGCGCCGTCAGACTTTGAATGAGAATTGCACGGTCATGCAATACTGTGCCGTATAAAAAAAAATATTTTTTTTTCACACAAAGAGCTCTTTTTGTGGTATTTAATCACCACTAGGGATTTTATTTTTTTCAAAAATGAACAGAAAAAGTATGTTTCTGTTATAAAATTTTGCGAATAAAGCTTTCTTCATAAATTTAGGCTAAAATGTATCCTGCTACACCTAAATCAGTGTAGAATATTTAGTTTGTAGGAAAGTTAGAGTCCACAAACTAGGATATAGTTTTATATATCTCTGAAAATTGATCAATCCTGATGCATTGACGGCTGATCTCATTTCTTGAGGCCCTAAAATGCCAGAAAAGTACAAATATCCCCCAAATAATCCTTTTTTGGAAAGTAGACAGTCCAAGGTATTTAGAGTAAGAGTCAATGCATATTTTTTTTTGAAGTTGTAATTTTGTCACAATTTTTTGAAAAAAAGAAGACGTGCGTTCCTGTGCAACTCACATGCGGTTCTGTGCACTGCGATTTCAGCCCATTCATTTTAAATGTGCTGAAATCGCATTGCACCAAAAGTAGAGCATACACTACTGCAGCCGGATAACGTGATCTGGTGCATGTAGGTACAGGGAAAAAACACTGTTTGGGGTGTCTTTACTTGTTACTGACACCCGCTTGAGATTGCAAATGTGTGTTTTGCATGCGGTTTGAATTGCATAGAAATGCACAGCGCATTCCTGTACGTTTCAGATGCAGGCATGCTGTGAACTGGGGTTGTGAAAAAGATTCACAGAAAAGTGGTTACATCATGGACAGAATGCGATACTCAGAATAATTCCCAAAAAATTATGCTTTATTACACAATAGTTATAGACAATAGGGTAAATACCCTGGTTCACCATCACCTCAGTATGAGATAATACACACAAACCTAAAATCACATAAAAGCAACATCAAGACCAGTCTTAATATAGATGTGCTGCATAAGCAATGACAGAAACCTGTCTAGTGCATTTGCAGCACCAACACATTGGTTACACCACCAGCAGGGGGTGTGTCAAAAAAATTGTACCATCAGGTATAATACTGTACAGCGCTATGCAGTAATGGCTAATAATAGGCACCATATATTGATGAAATTACCCATAACCCAAGGGGAGAACGGAGCACAGGCACCAAGGGGAGCATTCTGTCCATGATGTAACCACTTTTCTGTGAATCTTTTTCACAACCCCTCTTTTGTATGCATGTTTTTTGGTTACTGGGCAGAAACCATATACTGGGTGATACAGCGTATTTATGAACCGCTACCCTCTCTTATTCATGGTGTGAACTGGCCCTAGAGCAGTATTAAACCCAAAACTAAAAAATGTAATATGTTGCAGCTCATTATACACAATATAGTGTGTATATATACACTATATTACCAAAAGTATTGGGACGCCTGCCTTTACACGCACATGAACATTAATGGCATCCCAGTCTTAGTCCGTAGGGTTCAATATTGAGTTGGCCCCGCCCTTTGCAGCTATAACAGCTTCAACTCTTCTGGGAAGGCTGTCCACAAGGTTTAGGAGTGTCTATGGGAATGTTTAACCATTCTTCCAGAAGCGCATTTATGAGGTCAGGCACTGATGTCGGACGAGAAGGTCTGGCTTGCAGTTTCCGCTCTAATTCATTCCAAAGGTGTTCTATCGAGTTGAAGTCAAGACTCTATGCAGGCCAGTTAAGTTCCTCCACCCCAAACTTGCTCATTCGTGTCTTTATGGACCTTGCTTTGTGCACTGGTGTGCAGTCATGTTAGAACAGGAAGGGGCCATCCCCAAACTGTTCCCACAAAGTTGGGAGCATGAAATTGTCCAAAATGACTTGGTATGCTGATGCATTAAGAGGTCTCTTCACTGAAACTAAGGGGCCAAGCCCAACCCTGGAAAATAAACCTCATGTCATAATCCCTCCTGCACCAAAAACTTTACACTTGGCACAATGCAATCAGGCAAGTACAGTTCTCCTGACAACCACCAAATCCAGACACGACCATTAGATTGCCAGACATTGAATCGTGATTCGTCACTACAGAGAACATGTCTCAACTGCTCTAGAGTCCATTGGCAACGTGCTTTACACCACTGCATCCGAAGCTTAGCATTGCACTTGGTGATGTAAGGCTTGGATGCAGATCCTCGACCATGGAAACCCATTCCATGAAGCTCTCTACGCACTGTTGTGTGCTAATCTGAAGGCCACAAGAAGTTTGGAGGTTTTTAGCTACTGACTCTGCAGACAGTTGGTGACTTCTGCGCACTGTGTGCTTCAGCATGCGCTGTAGGGGCAGGGCCACCCGGGGACATCACCCGAGTGGCCCCGCCCCATGTGGGGTGACGGCAGGCATCTTGATTGACGTTGGATCTACTGCAGGGGACATTCTTTTAATAAAGGACTTGTCAAAGACTGCGTCCTGTCTTTTTTCACACTACACTTTTTTTTTTGTTTTTTGTGAATGAATAGGGGTACCATGTACCCCATACTCACATGGGGAGGAGGGGCGGAATCTAGGGGCTTGTTAAAGGGGGCTTCCAGATTCCCATAAGCCCCCTGCCCACAGACCCCCACAATCACCGGTCAGGAATTGTGGGGAAGGGGCCCCTGTCCCAGGATTGTGGGGGGCCCCCCCTGCCCCAAAGCACCCCCCATGTGGCCTGGTATGGTTCAGGAGGGGAAGATGGGGGGGCGCTCGCTTGTCCCCCCCCCCCTTCCCGACCTGCTGGGCTGCATGCTCGGACAAGGGTCTGGTATGGATTTTGGGGGGGGGGGCCCACGTCATTTTTTTTTATTTTGGCGTGGGAGTTCCCCTCAAAATCCATACCAGACCCGAAGGGCTTGGTATGGATGGAAGGGGGGACCACACACGGTTTATTTATTATGGTGCAGGTTTTTAAATGTACTTACCGCTTTTTTTTTCTTCACTGTAGCTCAGAAATTCAGCTGTCACTTTCCCCCCAGCTAAAAGAAAGAAAGTTTTCTTTTAGTTTATTTTCCTGAGTTAGGAGAAACAATGTTTCCTTTTAGTTTCTTAAAAGAAACCGTTTCCGTTAACTCCAGGGAAAATGACAGCTAATTCTGTGAGCTATAGTAAAGAAAAAAAAAAATCTGGCAATTGCATTCAAAAATCAGCACTGACATACACTTCGTATTGTGAAAAAAATTAGTAAAAAACTGAGGCATTATTTTCAATGGATTTTCATTCGTAAACCGAAAACTACGTTAACCGAGGCATTCGTAAACTGAGGTATTACTGTACAAAAATCACCCAGAGGGGAATGTTTTTTTCCCCCCTCAACAAAAGTAGAGTTACTCTTTAAAGGACAAGTTCACTTCTTTGAACATGTTACACATTCCACTCGTATTTAGGGTGAAATATGTAATGTTTCAACAGCTGCAGTCTCTCCCCCTCTCCCAGTGACAGTGAGCAGGGATCAACTCCAGGCAACAGTCCTACAAATCAGGCCTGCCCCCCATCTATACTCAATAAAACAATGACTCTCTCTGACTCCCATTCAGCAAGAATCCATGTCAATATCTCCCTCTGACCTGGTTGAGATTTATAATGGTACCTATTAGGCCCTCTTGCCTTACATCTTGGCTATAAAACATTTAGCCAGAGACTTCAGCAATAACTCCTCTATCCAAGGGGTCTATACAAATCCAGATTTGGTAACAATCACCATAAGATAGGACTATATGGAGGACAACCTCTTCCTTTATGGGTCCAACCCAACTATCAACATTTGTGCTATTTTTCAGAAATGTACCATCTTTCAGTACTTTAAAGTTAATGCCAATAATTCTATTCCACTCGACACTAGCCTTCCTTTGGGAGTGATTCAGCGATTCAATATTTAGGGGATACAGATTCCAGCCAAGCTCATTCACATATATAGCCTTAATTGCTCACCCCTCCTCCATTCAACACTCCCTAGGTTTAAAAAGTGATCGAGTAAGATTTGGAACTTCTAACTGCTTCACCAGTCCTCGCCTCCGCTCGTATTTTGACTAGATTTGGTGCCTGAATTGGTAGCATGTCTCAAAGTTTGTCCAAATGTCAAACTTGGCTTACTGTGTTCTTGGCTTTCACCTTTTTTACAGCCTTTCCTGCTTATATCTTGTGGATAAATGTGGGGTAAAGCCGGACACCCCTTCTTTTAAGTGTCATACTTCTACTGTCATCCCCATCCCCATCATCAGGATGCTTTGGTAAAGTTCAGGTGCTTTTCAATTCCGTGCCCCAAGGGATTCATCAAGTACCACGGATGATAATTTAACTGGGCTGAAAACTTGCTGCATTTTTGTAGATCCACTCAATCATTGCAACGTGTATATGGGGGTAGTCATGAGGTTGCCCTTTCTACAAACCTAATGAAAGATTTGTTGTTACCGCAGACTACATTTTCAAGACGTCAAAGTTGAACTATACTTACGTTGAATCCAGCGATGATGTGCTGTTTAGAACTCTCCGGCGACCGCTGACATCTTTGGGCGCCTGGCTGTTATTGGCCAGTCCAAGATGAAGTCACTAACGTGCAGGCGCAAGAGTTCCGTCAGCTGCTTGCACATCTCACTGTACAGGGGCAGACAGTGTCAAATCCTAAAATGTAAATTATTTCACTAATAGGCAGTGAAAGTCACATGCTTAGAATTTTAATTTATTACCAATAAGGTTATTCTAAAATTTCTTAAAAAATCATATTTGATAGGAAATAAAACCATTCTGTACATCAAAAGATAAAAAAAAAAACAAAACACACTGCTTACCATTCTGTCTAAGTTTTCAATTGATCTATATATTTCTCCTTGAGATTCATCATAATATGTATAACGAAATCGCTGACCTGGAACAAAAAAAAAAAAAAAAAAAAAAAAGTTTATATAAAAATTGAGAATCCTCACACAGTGGTTAAAAATGCAAATGGGAACTCAGTTCATCTTGGGCATACAATATCAAAATCCATACAGGGGACACTGCATATTTACTCCAGGCCACCTCACTATACAAGGTCCAGTTGGTACTAGTAATGTTCTATTCTCAAAGCACAATTGTATTCATGAGCACAAGTATCAAGCCAGAAACCATAATTCCACTCATAGTGTTAAGCTTTGACAACAGGAAGACCTCAATTACCATCCCTGCTGCTCTCATTAATAATGGGTAGCAGTAATAACCAATTCACATTAACAAGAGGAATGGCTCAACAACCTTGTTGATCATTCTCCAAATATCATATCCTTTTAAAATTTGAGAGCTTAGGTTAAATGATAAGTTGACCTTTTCAAAAAATCAAAAGAAAAAATGCACTTTTTATTTGCAAGTAAAAAAAAAGTGCATTATTTATTAAAAGGAGCCTGCAGAGCATTGCAACAAACAGATCAGGGGTGCAATCTCAGGCTTGGGCAGACTTTCAGGATAGCAGTCAATGTACAAGGTACAGGAAAGCAGTTACCTGAGAGCAGGAAGATTAATGGACGAAGAGTGCTCACCAGATGCTGGAACAGGTTAAATTTTCCACCTTAAAAATGGGTGAAACATGTAACATGTTCTGAAGGTGAACTTATCCTTTAAGCTTTCTAGGGCAATTAAATTAGTAAGGGGGATGGAGGACCTAAATTATGAGGAAAGATTACAGAAATTAAACCTATTTTTCATGGAAAAGAGGCACTTGAGAGGGGACAAACATTTCAGTAGTGGAAAAACTTTTTAATATAAGACACATTAAGCTGAGCCAGAAGCAATTTAATCTTAAAGCAGAACCTCACCCAAGAGGGAAAGTTCCTCTTGTTTGTATCCTCCCCCCCTCCACTGCCACATTTGCCACTTTTCAGAGGGGAGAGAGAGCGGGTACCAGGTTTTGATACCCACTCCCAGTCAGATACGCCGTGGCGATCTGAGCAGGAAGTTTGCCGCCCCCCTTCAATCCCCACGCAGCCTTCTGGGGCACTTCACATGTCCCTGAAGACTGTGGGACAATTCACAAAGCGCTTCACACAAGGCTTCACTGCCAGTTAAGATGTAAGTACTTAAGATGCAGGCACCTGCACCCAAAGCAGATTGAAGAATCGGCTCGGGTGAGGACATCGCTGGATCCCTGGACATGTAAATGTCCTTATATTAAAAGTCAGTAGCTACAGTAACTGTAGCTGATGACTTATTTTTTTGGGGAGAGCCTGGAGCTCCACTTTAAACTGCATATGGAGTGGTTTATATTAGAGCAGCAAAAATGTGGAACTCCATTCTACAATTGGTTGCATCAGCTGAGAGCATCGTCATCTAATAAAAAAACAATACTCATTTCTCATTGAACACAATACACAAGGATATGGGAATCCATACAAACGTGTATACAAACACACACACATTGGTATATTATCAAACTCTTCCTGCCAATAACAAACCAGTTTTGGAATTTCCAGAACATGTATTGATTCTCCTGTCCGGAAACACATCTAGGGCACAGGGGAGAGTCTCTGAAATGGTACACCCTACGTAACAGAAATAGCTGTGTTGGCATCAAGAAGGGGATATTGACATCTGAGGTAGCCTTTGTAGCATTCCCCGCCACTGCTCATCTGTAGTTTGACCGAAATCCTGTGTCCATTCATCATTACATGAAAGTAAAGTGGGACTGGTGGACCATGCAATTAGAGTTCTATATTCTTTGGTTAGGAAGCCCTTACACAGAGATTGAGCTACCAGTGGGACCAATTCCATTTTTAGGTCGAAAAGTTTTTCTGGAATTGTAAGGGTATGGTAAAGCTGGAGATACCTACACAAACCCCCCCCCAAAAAACCCCCACAAAGATCTTGGAATAGAGAACGCAGTGGCACACTTCAGTCCTTCCAGCACCACCAGACTAACATATAACTGACAAAACTTGCCATTCTAGATTTTTTTTTCCACAAGTCTGAAACTCCAAGTAAAGCAAGGTGGTACATTAAAACCCTAATGTTTATATTATACAAAAAAAACTGATTATGTGGAGCCAACTCAAACACTTTTTAATATTATATCTAACCTGTACTTGCTATTCTCATTCAGGGCAAAGCAACAGGTTTGCTTTAATCCTCAAATATACCTTTATCATATACACTCTGTACTTTTCCTTCACTTCCCTGCTACTCTGTTCACTACTGGGTGTTGAAGGACATACCTAGTACATCCAGGTACAAAGAAGCATGTAACTCACTTCATTTGACCTCATAATGAGCCAAACAGTGCTGTTGTACAGATAGTCCCACAGGGCTGTGTGAACTGTGGCACCAGCAGCTTGTTGCTTACATGGGGCCTTTTTTTGCTCCTGGCAGCTGAATGAAGAGGCAAGAGGGTGAAAGAAAGGCAAGATTATGCTGCTGGCTACTAAACGAAACCTGTTGCTTAGTCCTTCAAAGTTTAAAGAAGGATCCTGCCTTTTGTAATAGCAAAATTAACAATCACACAAGAGCAGTTATAGAAGCGGGACTGGCATTTAATCCAGATTTTATCTGCAGTGGTATCAATTAGGCTTATTCCATGTAAGGGGCACGAACTTAAGAGTAAAGATACACATTTAGAACAGAAATTACTGTGTATGGACCAATACTGGAACTTTTTTTTTTCTTTAATAAAAATGCTTTAGCTGACTGAAAGAATACTTACCCCAGTGGCAAAAATCTGAAGAAATTACAAAAAGGTTAGAAGGATCTGCTAAGTATTTGCTAAAAAGTTTTCCAAATTCCTGTTCCTTTGATTCACTAAGAGCTCCGACCAACACAGGAACAATGGTAAACTCATCCTTATGGCTGAAAAGAGAGAAAAGAGGAAACAAAAGTTATTTTGAGTGAATAAAAATTGTAGCAATAAAGGAAAATGTATCAACTGCAGAATAGGATGGGACAGAAAAGGGATCATGCAAAAATGCAGAGAAACAAATTAGAATCTAACTACCAGGGGCAGACTGACAAATCATGGTGCCCCCGGGCAATAGGGGATCATGGGGCCCGTGTCCTTGCCCAAACTCAAAAAAGCCTATGAAAAAGGTACCAGGGGCATCTCGTGAGGCCCCCCACTGACCCCAGGCCCTCGGGCAGCGCCCGAGTTTACCAAATGGTTAGTCCGCCCCTGCTAACTACACTATTAAAATCCAGTGGTTTCTAGATGTAGAGGTGGCAATCTGAATGGCAATTCTCAGTGGTACTTCCCTGATGATTTTTTTAACCCATCAAAGCTACCTGGTTGGCTCCTGGTGTGAGTGCGCTTTCTTATGGGTGCAATTTCCTGTAAGTTTTGAACAGTGCTGAGGGATTGAGTTCTAAAGTAGATGTGTAGCCTAAACTATTTTGGATAAAGTAGATAATGGCTTTAACCCCAGACATGTTATTTGATGCTGTGTGTACCATTGGGGAAATTTTCCTGTACTTCATGTTCCAGAGAGAGATGCAACAGGACGTGAAATATGACATTTGAACAGGTGACACCCCCCGCACTGAAAGATTTTCCTTTAACTCATGTTCTGGGAACAACTAAAATACTGGATTACGCTTCACTTTTTCAGTGACAATGGCGACCAGTATAAATAGAGGGGTGAATCTTCCCAACACAGACAATAAATCGTGACAGAGGATCTTCTAACTATTCCCAATGAAGCTTGTGTTTAAGAGAACTGCAAGTGCCCTGTTGGAAGGTGGAAAGTATAGCAAAGGCCACACTTTCTGGTAACAAAAGTGTAAATCGGAAAGAACACCACACAATAGAAGAGGTGGCACACATCTCATTAAACCTGGCTATTTGCTACCCTGCAGATTTCAAAAGAACTTTCCCCCCCCATTTTACTTTTTTGAAGCTACCATTCCTTAAATTATGCATCCACAATTAAATTTCATGCCAAACCAGCAAGGCCAGTGTCTTTTCCACCTGCAAGCAGTTTCCCCTCTTTCCACTCCATCCTTGAACCCAGCCCTGGAAGTACTTTGTATTGCAAGCCATAAACTAAAAAAAAGCCTGCACAGAAGAGATGGCAAAAAAAAAAAAAAAAAAAAAAAAAAAGACAGTTTGCTGCAACCCAGCCCTTTTTTACATTTTTCTAAAACTCTTAGGGCCGGTTCACACTATAGAAACACAGTCCAAACACATTCCGGGTGCGTTTCTGTGCGCTTTTGCCGCTTTTTTTGCATTCCAGTTAATTTTTTCCCTCCCTTTTTGTTCAATTTAAATAGGGACATGTGAGCACCAGTGCATTTTACCACATTCCAGTACAGTTCTGTGCACAATAAAAATGCAGCATGTTCTACTTTTTTTCTGCAACTGAAATGCACTGGAACTGCAAGTACTGATGTGAACTATGACATTGACAACTAAATAACCTACTTTCTCTGCATTTTGGATGCAGAAAAAAAGCACACCGAAACGCATGTAGTGTGAATTGGCCCTTAGTTTGAGTATAGACTTGGGTTTGTCCCAATCATGGTAAAATTCACCAAGACGACAAATACTGCTCTAGTCTATCCCAAATATCAACTACTCTACGTAAAACACTTTCTAAGGTTAACTTTCCCAATGCTAGTATTAGGACATACCCCCCCGTAGTCTTGATCTCGGCTTTATATTGAAGATGTTGACCTCCTGAACCTTATGTGCACCATGGAATACTCAGGAATCACACTTATACTACATTATGGTCTTTTATTCAGAATGACATTCTTACAAAAATTATAAACAAGTACTTTTATAAATTATATACAAGTAGCAAATAATCAATGGCACCACAGACACTAAAATAGTACATTTAAAGTTTACCCCCACTTTCTACCTGGTGAAACGGTTGCCAGCAGAACAGGAAGAAGTGAGGGGAAAATCTTTATTAAAAGTGGTCCAGATAGCAGTAAAACACAGCAGTGGTATTAATCCTTCCCCACTCTATTCAAAACTGAAGAAATAAGCAGAAATAAAACACAAAAAAAAAAAAAAAAAAAAAAAACATCACAAACCTTTTGGCTGGACATAAACTTAGAACATTTAAAAATGTCCCTCTAAAGCACTCCTGAATAAATATGGTATGCTGAAGTTTCAAGACAAGAAATATCCAATGTACAAAGCATTAATAAGATCCCCTAAAAAACTGGAAACCAATGTACCTCTATTTGACCCCCTGAGAAAAAGAAAGCCAAATAACTGAGGTTCTGTTACATATTTCACACTTTCATTGCCGTAAATCATTTAAATTGAATGTAAAGGATTTTTTTTATTATTCAAACATATCATGCTTACCTTCTCTGTGTTATGGTTTTGCACAGAGCATCCCAGATCCTCCTCTTCTGGGGGGTCCCCTGCCAGCGCTCCTGGCTTTCTTCAGTGTGACTTGCTATCGGGTTACTTGTTCAGGCATGATTGCAAACCAGGCTGTGTGTGTCCATTGACAAACACAGCACAGCTCAGCCCCGCCTGTGATTGACAAGAGCAGGATCTAAATGTTACCTTAATGTCCAGTAAAGAGATGGATGAGAGAGAGAACTGCTGCTCTCAGGCACAGAGCAGGAGCAAGACTGGGCTCAAGTATAAGGGGAGGTTGGGGAAGAAGCTAAAAGCAGGGTTTTTTTTTTTACCGTAATGCAGAGTACACAAAGGTAAAAAAAAAACCCTTCTGCCTTTACGACTATTTTAATGTGCTCACTGGAACTCAGATAAAACATCTTGGTGGAACTCACACCACATTTAAAATCACTGTGTTCACGTGGTGCTCACAGACTTTATGGCATGATCACCGGTACTTGTTCTTGTGGAGAATAACGAATTTTAATTTTGTACTGGTTCGGCACAGACATTGGCTGATGTTTATCTCTTTGATTTGCATTAGCTTCATATCGTTTCCAGTTTACTACTTACTCTTTAGTAACCATCTATCATGCATAATACTGGATGTGGCAAGTGCTTTCTTTGGGATTGATGGAGAAGGAGTGGGAGGTGGGGGGACATGGAGGTGAACGATACTGCTACATCAGCCTGCAAAAACCTGCTTTCTATACAAAGTAAGTGGGTGGTGTTCTCAGGGGAAGAAATCAATTCACATCCATATTGAATGGAATTACATACAACAGTAATAAAAACACACCTTTCCATTGCTTTAGCAGTGTAAGGTAGATGCATTTCGATGCTGTGCTCATCTTCATCTGTTTGCATTGACATTCGCTCAAACATTCCAGTCTTCCACAACTCTCCGTAAACTGAAAACATCCAAAACACAATAGGCTTTATTTTCCATGTAAGGACACTAGTGACATGCCCAGACAACCATTTCCATGTAGCAGAATTAACATGGTCTAATTATAGTCAAGGTTTTCTCTCATTTTCATTGCCGTCTGAGCTTTAGTAACCATTTTCTTTCCATAAAAGTAGCATGAAAAGGTTTTCCTAAAGAGACAATGTCACCTTGACCATGCAGGGCAAAGGGACAGTGTATATGGAAATGGAGTTACTGTCAAGGGATCCATTATATGTGTCAGAAAATAATGGATCAGAAATTTCTTTGAGCATTGTGGTCAATTAAATTGGCTTCCTTAATACAATAAATGTTAATGTGCAAACCATAATAATAGGCATGTGTTAATTCAACACACCAGAGAAGACAGGTGTACTGTAGGATCTTAAAGCCCAATTTAAACAAAACCTTTTAAACTTTTTTGGATAGAGTGGGGAAGGCTTAGAACCTCTGTCAGGATTTTATTCCTGTGTCAATGACTGGTACAGGGAAAATCTGAAGAAATCTCCTCAATCTTCCAGGGTGCTTGAAACGATGGATTCTGCACATATTTTAATAAGACTGCTCCCCAACATGCTTGTAATTTTTTTTTATTGGAACATTAACTGAAATATCGACAGGTCAACTAGAGATAAATCACATCAAACAATAAGCTGCTTTATGATCAAACATGATTTAAAGCTGAAGTTTAATCTGCTGATATATTGACTCTTCCCTGGTCGTCCCCCTTCCCCCCCCCCCCCCCCACATCAACAAGCTCATTACATTCTTAAGTAAAACTCATTTTTATTACAAACCTTATTTTTAGGCACAGTGACAACATCATTGTGTCTCTGCTTCTCTATGCAATGCAGTCAGATCATGGCTGGTTAGAGGGACTGCTATTGTGCTATTCATTCGCCTTGCAACATCAGAGCACCCTGCCGCAGTACTCCTCTCCAAAAGCCCTTAGCTCGGATGCACATAGTGGGCTGGCTCTTTAGAGGAATTATGCGAATATCAAAATGTCAGGATGGGTGTCAGTCTGGAGGAGAGGGTGTTCCTCAGGTTTCACAGCTAATACAGTAGTTGTTCATTGGTTCAGGTCAGGTTTACATCAGGATTTTATCCTGTTCACAACTGATGACGTGCGGTTTAGAAATGTTCCCATAGAAGTCATTAGCCTGCAATTTGCACCTGAACCTGACCGCACTGCTCAAACATTTGCAGGACTCTTTCAATCCGCAATGCCAATGCACAGGACATATTTGAACAGATATGTCATACAGATTGGATGCGTATCAAACCGCATCCAATCCGCATATATGTGAACCAGCACTCCAAAGGTGTATTTTAAGTGGTATTAAAAAAAAACATTTTTAAAATTAGTACTGTCAGTATTAGTTTGTTTTAGGTAGGACAAAAAATATGCACTATTGTTTCTGGGCCCTATTATGGGCGCAAACAACAACATATACTGTATTGCTCCAATCGTCAGGAGCAGGAGAGTTTATTTTGGGTTGTTCTTTGCTGGTAGATCACAGTAATAGCAAGAAATGCAGCTAAATTTTACAAAATTATTTTTCTTTTATGTACTAGCTTTGCTTTCATAAAAAACAAAACAGAAACAAAAAAAAAAAAAAAAAACACGCAAGGTATAATCCACCTTTATACACTATGTAGTTGCTATGATATGAAAGCAAAGCGGTTGAGGGGTTAGGATCTTTTACCCTCCACCATGAAGGGAGCGAAAGTTTAATAGTAAGCAAACAGCTGAATTCATAGTTGAAACACATAACTAAAACATGTCATCTGACAGTTCTTTAATTCACTTCAGCCAGTTTATGATCCAAGAGCCCTGTTGCTAGGCTGACCAGGATGCTCTCAACCATACCTTTCTGATCAATATGGAGGTCATAGAGGGGTGTTCTATATATATCCACAGTGGAAAGTGCACATCTAGAAAGAGCCACATGGTGAGAAGGACCGAGAATGAAAACTCTTCGCCTGTTTTTTTGGCAAAAGAGAAGAAATTTGTTTAGTAATCTAAATAAAAATCTTTCCTTGCACTTTCAGGGACACATTTATAAAGACGAGAAAATCTAACAGTGAGATCCAAATCTAATTAAAACAATTTTTTGTCCCATTGTACCTCTGTAAAAATTTTCAAACAGCTTTGTTGATGTGTTTTAGGCTGTGATCTCACTCTTCCCAGGCCTCCAGCTATCTACAGATCCCCTAACCATCAATAGTGCCTCCGAATATCCTATAGTGGCCCACAGTGCCCCTATCGCAGAGCTCCTCAGAGCCCCACAGTCTCCAGAGTGCCTGCCAATGCCCCCCATAGTGCTCCCCAGCCCCTGCAAATTCCCTAGCCTCCTGGAGAGACCCCCCCAGCCACATACAGAGACCCCATTAACTACAGTTGTCCCCAGCTCCCTCGAGAACCCTCCTCTCCTAGAGGGCTACCAATTTTTTTGTACAGATTTATCCGACCCCCAACCCCTCGCCCCCCTTCCCAATCCAGGTGGTTGCTAAACACCTTTTCTGGTTCTTGCTAAATACAAAATATAGCTTAACAACCAGTCTCCCATGAAACCAACCGCTCTATTTGTGACACCAAATTCTAAAGACCTTGGGATTGTGTGGCAGCAACATTGGGAAATATGTAGTTTACAGCTTCCCAGGTTCTTTTTTTGGTACCCATCTGCTTTTTTTCTCCAAGGGATCCTTAAAGAATCCTATTTTCTTAAAATTATATTCTTACATTGGAAGGTGGGAAAAGTACAAAAAAAAAGACCCAACACCGAAGCTTGAGGAATAGGAACCCCTTGAAGTATTGGAGAGACAAATAATGTACCCATTTCTTTCACCTGTGCCTTGTTGTTAGGTGCCAGCCCATACATCAAGTGCGGGATCTTGAAATGTAATGTGCGGTCATGAAATGCTATTTTGCTTGCCATTTCAAATGGATATTTGAGGACTTAATTGCACAACGGAAAGGATTTTTTTTTTTTTAACTCTAAGTTTGGAACATAATTTTAGCATTGGCCAACAATAAACACAACTTGTCATAAATAAAATAATCTCTCACATCAGCATCATGAATTTTTTTTTTTTTTTTAAAGAGAAGTATAACATCTAGTGGTGAGTTGAAGATATAGCAGCCAATTTTAATATGCAAGTACTGAGCTCTAAGATAAAGCCATTGCTTTGATTAAAGATAAAGCTGCGGCATTGGTACCTTATCTGCAGGGCATTTTTATGTTTTTCTTCATCTAGCTACAAGATGATACCAGGGATAAGATTTTAGGCCTGTGACCCACAATAAATGCTTAGTGCCCCCCACTCAGGCTGATGAGGTCCAATGAATTGGATGCTGCTGACTAGTGAGGGTGCAGTGTTGGGGAAAGGTTCATTCAGACCCAAATCTCACTGTAGAAATAGGAAGAGATAGCCTGGTCATAGCACACCTTGCCTGGCCCGAGTGGTTAGAAGGTAAAAAGCAGCCTCCGATCAATACATCCAAGCCATGCGCTCAACATGTTTTTGTCCTGTCCCCGGGGCTTAATCATGGACAATCTTCCTATTTCTACAGTAGGTTTTTAGACCTATTATATCTGTATATCTATATTAGGCCTATATATTTGTTGATTGTGCCAGGAATCCAGTGCTGCCCTGTGCACTGTGCAGTCTGAATAACCCTGCCCAGTTCACCACTCCCACTACGTTTTGAAGAAGAGAGGAGGGGGAGGTGTCCTGTAGTTCTAACATTTTTTTGTAACACAGCTCTTGCATAGATACAGTACAGCAAGTTAGCATAGTCACCCTAGGCTGGTGTGCTACTGGCAGGATCACCAGGTGAAAAAGTGTTAAAAATACAAAACTGAAAATAGAATGTAGTCACCACATAAGGAATAGTAAATAGCAATATATTCCATTTGTTTTCTTGGGTTTAGATATACTTTTATTCCGTAATATGGGTTGTTGACAGCAATCTTAATCTGCAGCACATTGAATCAGCCAATCAAGCTAATTCCCAATAAAAAGGTTAAACTTCCATTCCCATTTTAAACTTTTTCATTAGCATAAATTTTATGTTCAACCTTTTTTGCCAATAGCATTTTTGGTGATGGGTGCATTTCATCCTTTGCGTGACTCACAACCACTTAATATATTTATGCGGCTTGGAGATTAATGCAATAATTGTTGGGTTGGATTTTTTGGGGCTATAACCTATTTTTTAGTGTTAACTATGTATCAGTCAGGCTTGTAGGGAAAAATGCTCATGCTAGCCTGCTGAAGGAATGAAGGAGGCCAGCAACTAAATCATGTAAACAGTTATCAAGGGATCACGCCCAGTTTTATTCATGCTGGTTTGTAAAATGTAATTGCTAAAAACTGCTTTTGCATAAGCCAAAACACATTACAAAGCAGACAAAAAGTATTTTTTACATATCAAGTCATAGGTTTAGAGGTAAAATGATGGATATAACCAATAAACGTGTGTGTAAGTCTGAAATGCCCTAACAGCCAGTACTGCTCACTCATTACATTCCTAAAGCCACTGTTTTTTGACTGACCCGCTGATAAAGTGAAACATGCTTCCAAAGCCAGCCACAATAGAATGTCCACACACACTTTCTTTTTTTGTTTTTAAACACAGAAAAGCAAAGCTGTAAAAAACAACCTATTTTTTTTTTAACCTACCCGTTCATCCTTTTTCCAACTTTGTATGTGTAAATGTTACCTCTAAGAAAGATTTTTAAATATTTACATTAATATGTAGCATTTTTGTATTGACTGTAGAAAACACTTTTCTTGGAGTAGGCAATACATTTAACCACTAACAAGCCCAAGAAAACACAGAACTTGGGGCTGCCTGCAGATTAAAGAGCCATATGAAGGACCTTACACCTGATGTTGATATCAGATGATCCAACAACCGCATCAACAGCCGCAACATCCACCTGTTAGAACCCAGTGAACAAAAGACCAAGTAGCAGCCTTTCGTCTCTGGGAAACAGAAGCTTGATGCTAAAGTCAAAAAAATGACTCGCAAATTTGGCAGTGGGCCTCAACAGAAACAGGGTGGAACCCAATCCTTGAGATCATAAACTGGGATCTGCCTAAGCCACCTAGAGATGATGGCACGAGAAGCCAGAGCACCCAAACAGGGTACATCTGGGATTACAAAAGAGGGAATCAGGTCTTCCTACGGCCTTGCTCACACCCGAGTGATTCAGAATCATGGGCAGATCAGCACGATTCTGCCCACATTTTGAATAGATCTAAAAGCGCAGCAAAAGGCGCAACGCACATTTGATTGTAATTCTTATAAAAGGAACCCCAACTGCAGTGCGATTTTGCTGAAATTGTTGCAAAACACACAAAGATCATGAATGATGATCAAGAATGAGTGGGGAAGAGTTCAGTTCCTTAGGCTTCTTCTGCTGAGGTAATGGGTGCTCATTCCACCAATGGCATTCTTAATGATTTTATCAAGAGCTGGTGCAGAAACACTGACTCAATGGACATGCAGATCAAACTCTTTTCACAACTAGGTTCACACCTATGAAGTGTGCGTTTAATCAGTTTCTGCAATGCTTTTTGCGGTGTGATTCGACATGGTTTTTGGCCATCTTGTAGCTGATTAAAACACATCAAAACATGTCAAAAATGCACTACATGCATTTCTGCAGCGTTTCCACTGAAGTCTATTGAACCAAAACGCAACATTTTACATTTAAAAAAAAGTCCCTGACCCTTTTCAGAAAACGCACTGGGTGAAAACGCAGAGATGTGAATGTGTCCCTTAGGAAATCAGGTTAAATGGACTGTAGTGCGTTTCTGCAAGATGCAAAACGCTTAGGTGTGAACCCAGTCTACACAAGGGTTCTGCAGTCCAGCTCTTTAACTAAAGTGACCTGCACATATGAACTGATCAGAGACACATGCGAAAATTGAAATGAGAGGCTTCTAGCAAACCATCACAGCTGAAATTTAACACTACAGCCACCTGATCCACACATTCTATAAAGCAAGTAATCAACCCTGGCAGTGGTCAGATCACTTGAGGGATTTAGACCAGTAAGACATTGTTTGACAAAGCAAGACAAAATTGCGGGCAGGGCCCACTAGCTAATGCAGGCAATAGACGGGCCATTTATCGGCCGAATTGTCAGCCGATAAACGAAAAATCATTACCGATGCCACAAATGGCCACGAAAAAAGGGCCATTTTCCGTGGATTTTCCAGCATGACCGATAAAAATAAATGAGAAGATACGTGAAAAATGGCCGATGGGCAGGCCCCACTAACGGTGTAAATATCAGCCGATTTTTCATGCGGATGAAAATTCGGTCAATAAACGACCCGTCTATGGCCTGCATAAAGGTCTAGGAAGCACTTTAATTGCTTGAGAAAGACAGGCAGATTCTCTATTAGAATAGTAAGTGTACTGTTAAGGCGGGACACTGCCGGATTCACAGTGGGAATAGACTACTTCTGCACAAAATGCTTATTAAATGGATACAAGTCTAGCAAACATTTAGGTTGAGTAAGCAGCTTATTTGGATGTTTCTAATCTCCACAGAAAAATAATTGGAAAAGCGTGTGAAAAGTCCTTTTGGCCTTAGAACTTTTAATGACCCAAGGCTGGAACCATCATTGGTAGAAGCAACAGTTTCGGAGTGGTGTGTACTACATTATTAAGAGCCAAAACAGTCTTCAGCGTCAGAATAAAAACAGAAGACTGACTACTTGGGGGCAAGTCAGCTCATCAGTCAAGGAGTGGAGCAAGTTAGTCAGTCTTGGCAGCCAAAATAGAAGATCTGCAGGAGAGGGCATGGCAGTACGCTTGTGACCTCTGATCAGTCAGCAAATAACTAGGTCATTTGGAACAAAAAGTCTTGCACGACCATGGTAAAAAGCCCAAACTACAGGGAAGAGCGCCACACACACAACAGAGTCAAGGAAAACTAAGGATGGAACAGATCACATGATAGCAGGTTGTGGACTTTGGCACTTCCAGAAGCCAAGCTGCAAGCAGCCCCAGAACTGTTCATGGAATGTGAGCTGGGGGAACCCAGTATAGCATGTCAAGAATTAGTCATGTTGCAACGGGGTGGAAAGCAATTTATAAGGCTCATGGTAAGCAGACCTTAGGTAATCAAATAACCCAGAAAGCTGATGGCAGGTGAGGGTCAGATGACTGAAGGTGACTAAATTCACTAAAGGCGGGTAGCAGGAATGGATCGAAGTTCCAAGTGGCTCTTTTCATGCAGGGAAATGCTTCAACCTGTATGACAGGAAAGAGCGTGGGTGTCACTCCAGCCAGTGGCTGATAGAAGCTCTCAGTCCCACAGTGTTAACCACTACCACAGCAAAAACCAGCAGACGACGGGGTAATAAAGACCCCCAGGTACCTATGTAACGGAGGCAGCTGCTAATGCATGGTCCGATCGGTCTACTCACTGAGACGTCAAAGATATCTTAGTCTGACTTTCAGTTTTTCGTTTATGCTTCCTGTACCCCTCAATGGATGAGAGAGATTCCTTTTCAGCATCCATCAGCTACTAATATACTAAATAAAGAAGGGTATTGCAACCCAGACTCTTACTAAAGAGGGCATATGTCAGCAAAATATATATATACACACACACACACACACACACACACAATTTATTATATCTCTAGCTATCCCTTGCAGTAGGGATGTGCCTAAAATCTTACATTTTCCAGAAGCTGGTTATTAATTCTGGACAATGCCTTGTATTACGGCTTTATGGCAGAATAGGGCTGGACCAACAAAGCCACACTTTTGGCATGCATAGGATGTTTGCTACAGACATAATAAATGTGTTAATACTGACAAAGGAGTCGGATCTTATATGTTCAGGGGTTGGACAAACCTATGGAAACACCACATAAAAGAATGAAATTGTTACCTAATATGGTGCTGGACTGCCTTTGACATCCAAGATGGCCTGAATTCTCCTTGGAATTGAAAAATACAGTATCAGCCTTGGATGGTGGATAATAAAATCTGATGCAAAAATCATTCCAGATCTCGCAGAGATGCCGGAGGCGGAAAACTCACCCTAATCTTGTTCTCCAAAACTGACCATAGTGGCGCTATGATATTGAGATCCGGTGACTACGGCGACCAGGGAAGGTGCGAGACTTTCTTTGCATGCTCATGAAACCACAATCTGACAACACCAGCTGTGTGAATCAGAGCATTAGCATCTTGGTAAATGGTGCTGTCTTCAGCAAACAATGTCTCTATTGGGTGCACATGGTCGGCCAAAATTTGTACATAGTCACTGGCAGTTACTCTACCTTTCAAGGTGATGATGCAGCCTGCAGAATTCCAAGATATGGCTGCCCAAACTGATTGCGCTCACACCAAGCTATACCGTCGGCAAAAGAGACAGTCCTGGTCGTAACCTTATGACAAGGTTTGCCACACTTAACTATGTCCGGTGGTTGGGAACATTGTGACATTTGATTCATTGGACCATATTACAGTCTTCCATTGAACGAAGTCCACAATTTATAGGTGTTGCACCTCCCTCTCCACTTCTGAGCATTAATATCAGTCTAGTGGATTGCCAGCTGCAGCTCGCCCACAAATGTTTTGCTTATGGAGTTCCCTCTGCAGAGTTTTTGTGGACACGCACTTTGGAAGATTGAGATTGAGCTCTGCAGTCACTTTTGCAGCAGCTTTCTTATTCCAAGTCACAATCCTGTGCAATGTTTTTTTGTCTCTTTTGGTCAATTGACCAGGTCTGTTATATGCCATCATAACCTTTGACACTGTACATTGGAACGCTACAAATAAATTGGCAACTTCAGTCACAGAGGCACCAGCTAAGCGGGCACCAACAATTTGCCCTCTTTGAGGCTCAGTAAGCTCTGACATGACTACGTATTACTAGCTGCACACGCAGTGTAGAACGAAAGGTGAGGCTTCCCACCCGTTAGCTAGGTCTCATCACACAAGCAAGCAAAGGAATGTTACATCACTTCCGCTTTCACCGTGAAACATTTCGTCACTTTCACATATGCAAATCATATAGTGTTTCCATATTTTTGTCCAACCCCGTATATATAATACCATAGGTTCATTGAGCCAATATGGGCCCATTCTCCAGGAGCAAGCAACTGGTGGAAATGTTATTTGTAAGGTAAGCTCCAATGGAGCATGGTTAGATACAGCTTTGGGTAAATATTGTATATATTAACATTACTAAAATTATTATTGTTATTGGTACTTCTATAGTGCTGCCAATTTATGCAGCGCTTTTTATATATATTTTACATTTACATGAGTCCCTGCCCTCAAGCTTGCAATCTAAGGTCCCTAACTCACAATCATTCATACATACAGTACACAGGCCAATTTAGACAGGAGCCAATTAACCTACTAGCTTGGAGTGTAGGAGGAAACCAGAGTACCCAAAGGAAACCCACGCAGGCACAGGGAGAACATGCAGACTCCAGGCAAGTAGTACCATGGTTGGGACTCAGACCGATGACCCTAGTGCTGCTAGGCAGAAGCACTAACCACTTAGCCTCTGCGCAGCCCATTAGACTTAAAAGTAATATCCAAAATTGAGTATTGTGTGAGTCAGACTGGCAGAAGGACTCCCTGCGATCAGGGTGCCTCTATCGTCACACCTCAACAAGATTATATCCTTCTGTCCAGTCCTTCAAGACTGAGGTGTACAGTTTGCTACAATGGAATCAATCAGTGGAACCCAGTAAATTAGTTGCGAGCGCAAAAAAGCGTAAAAGCAGCTAGCATATAAAAGGTAAACCTCTGCACCTCTAAACAACTGTAAAAAGCAATAAATATGCAGCGCTAAAATAGTGACATATGATGCATACTGATAGTATTAATAAAACTATATATAGAGTGAGCGCTGCTGAGCGCATAAATGGTGAAGTGAAGACTACGTCTTATTATGACGTTTCAATACGACAAAAATGTATAAAGTTGAGTGACAGATGTGAATAGTCCAATCAACCAATATAACAGTCCATAAAATGGGGTGATCTGTGCTCCGTGTTGGTAACTTCAGGTGCGGAGAACCAGTGAGACTATGCACTTACCAGAAGCGCATAATAAAATGCGCAAAACAGATGTATCCTATATATGGTCATCTAAGTCTGGTCTAGGGCTGCGGGGTCATCAAGCTCAAATGTGGACACATGGGATGATGCTGCTCACACACAAGGGTCACACTCCGCTCACATACCCATCAGAAACAGCTCCACGATGATACTCCAGATCCAGATGTGGTTCCACCTTATAGAGCTCGAAATGACCAAGCCAAGGAACAAATAGGTGCTGATAGTGTAGTATGTTTTTATTAATATCAGGCGAACAATCCAGATAAAAAAAGGTAAACTCACATGTGGTATTGGAAATGATAAACAAAAATGGCCGCCGGCCTTGCTCGCGGTCGTGTGCGGCGTGACGTCACTCCGGTGTGCTCCTTTCTGGCGCGTTTCGTGCACCAGCAGTTTGTCAAAGGGGTTACCCTGAAGTTATCAACACGGAGCACAGATCACCCCATTTTATGGACTGTTATATTGGTTGATTGGACTATATACATCTGTCACTCAACTTTATACATTTTTGTCGTATTGAAACGTCATAATAAGACGTAGTCTTCACCTAATCAGTGGAACCCATGTCTCATACCAGTTATATGACACTAGGCTGGAGGTGATGGAAGACATCAGGAGTCACCGTTTCATACATGGAAAAAAAGTAGGCCTTGGTAATATGACCAATTTTTGAAAACCTTTTAGGCCTTTTTACATCCAAACTGGATGTTTGGACCACACTGAAAATAGAAACTTTACAATCAGACTTATTATGCTATACACTTTAACCCACAAAAGTGATAAATATGACGAGCTTGATCCAAAAAAAAACCTTACGTAATAGAAGGGTCTACTTGCTTGTAGGCATGAGCAGCACAGGATCCACAGTAGGTATATCCAGCATGACTGTTTAGAAATATTTAGAGTTAACATGGTTGTTTATATCATAGGATAACATACAAATGATTTTAGCTGCAGCAAATTTTTTTTAATTTGCTTTAACAAAAAAAAAAAAAAAAAAAAAAAAAAAAAGTGCCCATTTTTGCATGATCTAAGCAAAAAAAGAATATTACTTTTAACTGGTAAACTTTTTAAATTTAAACATTCCCCACCCCCACCAGCACTTACTATGCTATATTATGCTATATTAACCCTGCCTTATTCATGTCAGGCCAATTCTCAACACATATTAGTAAATGCAGAATCACCATGAATCCTTCCATCTAAAATTTTATTACAATATGACTTCTAGTAAGTTTAAATCAGAATACACAATACTTACGGTGCAATAATGGCTCTTGCAGGTCTTTTTGACGTTTGTGCTTGGGACAGCCAACCATCCAACTGGGCACTCAGCTGGGGCCCTAAAATAATCATAAACCAAGCCATCAAACTGTGAAAATAGAAATTGAACACTGCGAGCTGGTGTTTACAAAATTTTTATTTAGATAATACCAACAAGTATTTCAAATTCTCTACTAGAAGTGTATTAATTGTCTACATTTTCAAAGTATGCTATTTCATTGGTCTTTCTGTGAAAAGTACTAGATAGCATGCACATTTTAGCTAGGTTCTGTGTGCCACTTTTGTTGCTGTACCTGCAAGGAAAAAAAAGGGACTTCACAATTTTCAAAATACAACCGCACTGCGCTTTGGCACCAATCATTTCTGCATGTGGGAAATTATACTGCGTTTTTCAGTGCATGGGAGTGCCATTAGATGTTAATGGTACCCCTGCGCATGGGCAGCTGCAGGACCATTTGTGCGATTTACACACTCCTGCACCCGTACAGATGGAACAGTCTCAGCGCTACCAGAGATTTTGAGAAACACCGGTTATGACTATATGAACAGATCTCCAACAATTCAAGTTTAACAGCAGCAATGCATAAATAATGCTTCACCAGCATTACGTGTTATGGGTGTAAACTGGGAATTTCAGCTAAAGCCTAACTAGTCCTCAAAATGCTCCCTTCCCCCTCCTAACATCTAAACTAAATAAGCTGTAAAGACAAAATACATATGCTTATCTATTTTCAGCCTACTCTGGTTACATGTTCCAGCTCCCATGTGGCAGCCAGTCGACAATGGTTGCACCATAGAAGTCTATGGGTGACGTCATGGCTCTCAGCTCTCACAGCCTTTGTAAGGTGCTCTCTCCATTTGTCAGCAGCCACTGCTAGCTGACACAGGGGATCACATGACAGGACCAAATCAGAATGAATATAGGCAAGTATATGTATCTTTTTTCCACAGGTTAGTTAGGAATGGGGAAGCAGCACTTTTAAGACCAGTTTTAGATGGGAGTCTACTTTAAAATTCAAGAAATGTTTGCTATTCAGATGACATATAGAAGCTAAAGGGGGAAGTTAATGTAAAAGAAAACCCAGGAAGTTAAGGGAGGGCTACCTCCACCCTCCCTGACATCCTGGGCAATCACAGAGTGGCAACGACATGATCTGTATGGTCCACTTATATGTGCAAACAGGATACGTGCACTTCATTGAACAATTTATGCTATGCCTCTTCTGCAATAAAACAAACTGGTCTCCCTGTTCAGTCTTTAGAATGTACTCTGAGGTGGATATGCACAGCTCAGGGTATATTCTCAGCACAGTGGCTTGGTGCAGGGGTGAATGAATGAACTGCACACGCATGGAAGTTGTCATCCCACACCAGCCAATCAAGACAGTCGAAAACCCAGAACAAGTCAGAGGGAGAGACCCCATGGACATTTGAACAAAGTATTTGTGGAGCTTACTTCTGCTTCAAAGAGAAAGGTTCTACTGAAAGAGAAAATCTATGCTACACAACTCTGGTTTTTCTACTGCTTCTGGGGATTTAGTTCTTTAAAAGACCCAGCCATGAGAGAAGTATGAGCGCAATTACAGCCTCTAGGATTCTCTTGTGAGAGGTTTTCTTACGTTCTAAACCTGAGTGGATTGGGACTTTTCTGAGGGAGGAAGACCATTGTCTGATCACACGTTTCTGGGAGGGGCCTTCACTGATCATATATGGGGCCCCGGTATTATACCAATAGGGAGCCACACTGTTCTTCTTTGCTCTGATCACATGTCTGGGAGAGGGCCACATTGAGAATGTGTGGGGCCCCTGTGTTGTGCTAATCATATGGAGGTGCTCCTGTACTGATCATATGTACTGTGTGATATGGGGGTTGTACTGCAGGGCTCGACAAATCGCAGGTCGCTATGGTGAGGCTGTCAGGCACCGGAATGCCGCTTCACTGATCCAGGAATTTTAAATCTATGTGGCCTAATCTCCTATCCATACATCTCAGCATACAGACAAGAGGCATTCTAATTGGTCAGCACAGTCTCATGGATAGTGCTGACCAATCAGAATCTGTCTAGCCCGCCCTGTCAGTGCTGAGAGGAGAGAAAGCTGTGATTTCAAATCCCCGAACCAGTGTCTCTTTCCTGTTTGTTCTTTCTAAAAAAAAAAAGTCTCCTAACCTTTTTTTAGCTGGCTCCTAGATTCAATGCAAATTTGTCAAGCCCTGACCTAAAGTCTCTTTCAGGAGGGCGGTAAAAACGGGTGTTTAAGCCACAGTTTTATGGCCCTACTGGCTGCCCAACTGAGCTATAAAATGACAGATGGGTGAGGGTGTTCATTTGCCATGGCATTTTTAACTAGCAGTGCAGTTTGACAGGTCGCACTGCTTGTCAAGCTCGCCCATGGAGTTGAATGGGTCCATGCCACAACCACATGCAATTACAGGAAGGGTTAAAAAAAAAAAATTTATACATACTACTCTTACAGAGGGCCCCCGACCCCCACTGCAAAGATGGAGGGAGCCAGGCATTAAGCATTTCTTAAAACTGTAGAACACATATTTGAAATGGAACGTGTGCAGTGGTAAGCGTTGTGCAAATTATTTGATGGTGACAAATATCAAAACCATAAATGTGTATATACTGTATATCGTGTATAATTGATTATCTGAAAATATTTACGGATATAAATAAAAAGGCTGTCACTGCCAACCACCTTTTGAAAAAAAGGTCTAAAATACTTGCAAAGCTGAAACTGAATTCTTACGAAGAATACTAAGGTGTAGAACTATTTCAGGATCTCCATAGGCCATTTGGGGGTCTGGAGACTCAGGTAGCCATAAGTTCTGCCCTTATTATAACCCACTACTGTAACAGTACTGCTTACAAAAAAAAACAGTGAAAAACATGAAGAACCCATCACAATCATATTTCTGCTGGTAAAGAAAATATTGAACAGCTGCCATGGGCTAATGCACTATATGCTCATGAAACCGTGCAAAAAACTACACTGCTTGACAAAACACAAACCTTTTCTGCATCATTTCACTCTGCAAATTTTATCATTTACAATCTACCTGCCAAAATCATAGCAGTAAGAGAAACTAAATATCAGTGGTGTTGGAGCCCCCCACATACACTAGGTAAATATGGCCACTTAGATAATGATAAAGTCCATCAAGTTTTTATTTTATCGCTTTTTCTGCCGGCATGTTCACAGGAAGACCCAATGATGCTGGGGGAAGCTCTGCAGGCTGTCCAACGATGTGACATGCTTGATGCTGAACGTGTTTGCCCTTATGCAAGAGTATAAATAAAGGACATTTACAAAGCTACCCTATCACGTGAACCAGCACATGCAAAGTCAGCACTGTCATCCTAATAAAGGAAGTGTGGAATGAGAATTTTAAAGCATGTAAAAACCCTAAGTGAATTTTTGTATCCCAGTGCTGTTGATCTTCTGCAGTTTCTTTACAGCCACTTCCTGTCTACTTCCATGCACTCCAGCAACTACGCACATCATGTCTTAGGGACCATATTCCCGATTGTGACAACACTGAAACATGCCTGTGCACCAGCTAAATTTCATCTACTGCAACCAATCAGCTTTGGGCGATGATGGGTATAATCTGACAGTGGCAGGTGCAGCTCTCAGGAGTATAATGTTCCAGTTTGGGGGGAGGTTGCGGGGGCCAAGGGGGGATTCCTCCATCCAGCTCATTTGCTTAAAAGGAGGAATCTGTTGTATGGCTAACTTATAGTTGTTGTTATTGCTCAAGGTTTACATTCTATGCAAGGAGGTAAAAAATCTTTGGCGTGCAGCAGCTCCCCAAAAAATACTTACCTGTGCCGCCTCTCGATCCAGTGGAGTGCACAAGAGCAGTGGCTCTCCGCAGACTCTTCCTCCTCATTGGCTGAGACAGCAGCCATGCTCCTGCCATTTTCAATCATCACAGCCAGTGAGGAGAGTGGGAAGCAGGCCTGAGCCATGCTAGTGTATGAATGGACACACAGAGCAGTGGCTCAGGAGCAAGACTGCTCAGGTGCCCACACAGCAGGGTGCTTGTTCTGAGGGAACTGGGCAGGAGGGAAAAGCCAGGAGCACTGCAGGCTAACCAAGAAGAGGAGGATTGGGGCTGCATTGTGTAAAACCACTGCACAGAACAAGTATGGCATGTTTGTTATTAAAAAAAAAAAATCTGCCTTTAATATCACACTTTAAGAGCTAGTTTAATAATGCAGGAGAATCGGAAGGCAGAGACACAGGGGTTTATTTACTAAAGCTGGAGAGTGCAAAATCAGACTCACTTCTGCATAGAAACCAATCAGCTTCCAGGTTTCATTGCCAAAGCTTCATTGAACAAGCTGAGGTTAGAAGCTGATTGGTTTCTATGCAGAAGGGAGTCTGATTTTGGACTCTCCAGCTTTAGTAAATAAACCCCAGTGTCATCCAGACACCCCCCTGTTAAAGGGTGACTAGGTTTTCGTAGGCAGAATAACCAGTATTATTTCCATAAAAGCTACAGAATTAAGACTAAAAACACTGTTCAAATCTCATGTGAAACTAGTGAATGGGTTTAGAACTGCTATTCTTAGTGTTATGCAGAAACGTATGCCTTGATCTGACATAATTTAAGGGATTACAGCAATTGCAGCAGAACCAATAAGGAAAACAACTAGCATTGGGGGGGGGGGGGGGGGGGGGGGGGGGGGGGACATTGAGAATAAGGGCTTAGATACATTTTAAAATACATGATAAAGCAACTCCAAATGTTTTCAACTGATCCTACCACAAATGCCCTTGTTCTGTCCATTTCCTCCAACTGTGCTCCTGCTTTGTCAACTGTCACATGTGCCCTGATGCAAATTACAAGCAGCTATGCTGACACATACAGAGGTATAGCCAAATATTGTCAACATGGGGAAGCTGGTCCCGAACAATGATGAGCAGCCAGCGCTGCAGTGCAAACATGTAGACAGGATGTAGTCTGGAGAAGATCAACAGCACTGAGATGCAAAAATAAAAAAGAAGTATGAAAGCATGTGTTAATAAAGCGACACAATAACAATTGTAAACCAGTATTCAGCCAGTTAGATTTTAGAGCTACTGTAGTACCTCTATACGTCAACTTACCACCTCTACCCTGAAACTAGACACAGGCGATAATCTGTATGTGCAGTTTTTTTTTTTTCGTTTAACCCCGCTGGGCTGAACAAATAAAAACTTGCAGACTCCTATGCTATAAAAGTAATGTTGGTTCATTGATCTTCTCCGCTGCGCTATTGTATTGTATTGCCCCTTCCCCCAGGCAGAATACACTGATCAGTGCTCACAGTCATTGGTTGCAAACGCTGATTGGATGCTGACTATCCAGCATGTCCCTTTGACAAAAGCCGGTTGTTAGACCGGACAGACTGCTGTACACACTGACTGAAAGTCAGGCTGATTTTCAGACAATGTACTGTATACCAGCTTTAGATGTACTCTCTGCTGCAGCAAAGATATGAAGCCCCACAAATGAGAGCCAGATAATTAGACACTACCAGGAGCGTTGGATCCTCAGGCTTCCAGGCTGCTTGCAGTGTCCCCCTTTCCCTCCGATCCTACGTCATCACTAGGTTTCTTCTGGAAGTACAAAAAAAATCTCATAAAAACATCAGCAAATGCCAATGCAGAATGACCAGCAGATTTATTGCAGCTTTTTCTACAGAGATCTTGGCACTTATAGCAGAAGCACAGTGATGTTAGGGGCCAAGGGACCATCAATGCAGGTGGCCTACAAGTCTCAATCTGGCACCCGTGAAAAGGATGACTTTCTAATCATACTGTGGAAATGATGACTTTGCATAGGACTCTCAAACCGCTACAGCAAAGAAGTACATGTAATGCAGGTTACAAACCTGTGTTTACTTGTCAGGGTAGGACATGCTGAAGGAGTCTCTTTAAATCGCTACCAGAACACTGGTGGCACTTTTAGGGCCCATTTAGAACTACACATGGGTTTGGACCTGCATTTTTTGCAGAATTAGGTATGAATGTTGTGGTGTCAATGCATAATATGTGCTTTTGCATTTAGAGTGGACAGGGTTAACAGCCATGGACCAAGCCTTCTTAAAACCTGCTGCCAAAGCACCAAAATGCAAGCTCATGATTCCTGCGAAATTGCTGAAATGTAAGTTGTGGGTTGTCCCATCGGCCCCACTTAGAACATAAAACTTCAACTAAAAATAAGCTGAAGGAGTCGGGTGGACAATAGTTGGAAGAACAGTGACTGCATCTAGTCAGATGTTACTGACTGATATTGATGCAGCCATGGGTGCTGGCTATCCATGTATACGTGCACATGGTAGGTTTTGCCCATCTGCATCAAGTCCTGGAGTTTTTGGGTGCCTAGGAGGCACAGATACAGCATACAGCCTGCTGCAGCAGGCCATCAAAATCAATGATAGGTTGAAATATGCTGCGGATGGATGTTCTGAGCAGTACTAGCATTTAAAGACCACATGCACCGAACAGAGGAATTCCTGCATTTGGGGCATATGGTTCTAAACCTGAGTACCGCTTGGTACAGTGTTCAGCTTGTCTGATTTTGATAGGCTGCTGGCAGTGGGCTGTATACCTGGACTTCCTGGGTGCCAGAAATAGCAGGATTTCACACTGCCCGTGTGCAGGAAGACTAAGAACAATATAGTCAGCAGTGGAGATTCATTGTGACATTGAAGGAAAAATCTATGCATGTATGGCTTGCTTTATATGCCTTCTCATAGATTGCCATTCACTTCTATAGACCTCCCAATGCATTAAATGAAAAAAAATACCAGGTCATTTTTACAAAACACACTGCAGTGCTGGGATGGGAACACGTGCCACCTTTATTAAAGTAAACCACAATACAAATGTGTTTTAGCAGCAGTGTAAATGGGCTTTTAATCTGCCAAGTCACTTATATACAATATAATCCTGCTACACGTCTGTCCACCCCCACGCACACTCCATGTCTCATAGGATGTGATGACAGGTGTTTCTAATCAGCATAAAGAACAGTGGGGGTGCACTTACATCCTGCCATGTCTCCCATCCCCCTATCACTTCCATACAATATAATCCCACTCCATGCATCTCCCAGCCCCTCCCCTCCACAGTCCATGGTTTTCATTCCCAAGGTGGGATGTGGGGACATGGTTCTTTAGTCAGTATAAAAACACTGTACTGTGGGTGCTTTTCCATCCCATCCTGCCATGTCACTCAGCCCCCATCACCCTCATCCAACATAATCACACTCCATGTGTCCTGCTCTCACTGTAGGATGTAATGACACTGTCTCTTTTGTCAGTATAAAGACCAGAGGGGGGGAGGTGCACTTCCATCACTCAGCCTCCCCCCCCAAATCAATCCTTAACAATATGATCAAACTCCATGTTTCTCCCCCAACCCCTTCCACATCTCCTGCTCTCACAGTAGATGTAACAACAGATGTTTAATCAGTACAAAGCCCAGAGGCAGTGGTGGTGATGGGAGGGGGGTGCACTTCCATTACTCAGCATCCATCATTCCAATTCCATATAAGCACACTGCATGTGTCTCCCAGACCCCCCCCCCCCCCCCCATGTATCCTGGTAGGATGCAGTCCTCCTTAATGAGCATAAAACCTAGTGGGGGTTTGCTTCCATCCTGCCATGTCACTCAGCCCCCATCACTGTTACCCAACATTATCACACTCCATGTGTCCTGGTCTCACAGTAGGATGCAATGACAGGGTCTCTTTGGTCAGTAGAAAGGTGTGTGTGTTTTCTTCCATCCTACCACATTCCCCCCCCCCCCCCTTCTTCTGTCACTGCCATACAATATAATCCTATTCCATGTCTCTTGGTAGGAAGCAGTGACAGGGTCTCTTGAGCACTTCCATCCTGCCATATCACTCAGCACCCCCCATAAAATACAATCACACTCCATGTCTCTTGATAGGATACGATGACAGGGTTTCCTTCGTGGGGATACAGCTCATTGGGGGCGCACTTCCATCATTCCAGATCACTCAGCCCCCATAGATTGCAATTCACACTCCATGTGTCTTGGTAGGATGCGATGACAGGGTCTCTTTAGTAGGGATACAGCTCATTGGGGGCACACTTCCATGGTGCCATACCACTCAGCCCCCCATAGAACACAATCATACTCCATGTCTCATGATAGGATGCAATGACAGGGTCTCTATAGTGGGGATACTGCTCATTGGGGGCACACTTCCATCCTGCCATATCACCCAGCCCCCCATAGAACACAATCACACTCCATGTGTCTTGGTAGGATGCGATGACAGGGTCTCTTTAGTAGGGATACAGCTCATTGGGGGGGGCACACTTCCACCCTGCCATATCACTCAGCCCCCCATAGAACACAATCACACTCCATGTGTCTTGGTAGGATACGATGACAGGGTCTCTATAGTGGGGATACTGCTCATTGGGGGGCACACTTCCACCCTGCCATATCACTCAGCCCCCCATAGAACACAATCACACTCCATGCGTCTTAGTAGGCTGCAATGACAGGGTCTCTTTAGTGGGGATACTGCTCATTGGGGGGCACACTTCCACCCTGCCATATCACTCAGCCCCCCATAGAACACAATCACACTCCATGTGTCTTAGTAGGATGCAATGACAGGGTCTCTTTAGTGGGGATACTGCTCATTGGGGGGCACACTTCCACCCTGCCATATCACTCAGCCCCCCATAGAACACAATCACACTCCATGCGTCTTAGTAGGCTGCAATGACAGGGTCTCTTTAGTGGGGATACTGCTCATTGGGGGGCACACTTCCACCCTGCCATATCACTCAGCCCCCCATAGAACACAATCACACTCCATGTGTTTTAGTAGGATGCAATGACAGGGTCTCTTTAGTGAGTATACAGGCCAGCAGGGGGCGCCCTTGCATACAATGTCCTCCGACTCCCAGCCCTGACTCCTCCCCCCTGTGTCTCCCCGGGCCCCCCTCCCCCACCCCGGTACCTGAGGCGGTGTACCAGCTCCCGGCGTGGCTCGCATCCCTGCACAGCGCTCGGTTGGACATCTTGGTGCCGGAGCCGCCTATGATGTGTAGCCGGGCTGTGCGGACGAGCGGGCTGTGTGTCCGGCGGCGAGGTGAGGAGGGCTGACCGGCCGGCTCGGGGCAGGGAGGCGGGCGGAGCTCGGACACTAATAATAATGATGATAGGAATGGGCTCCCCCGGTCACATCTAGGTTGGGAGGCTGGGGCCACATCTGTTTCCGGCCGGACACAGGTGGAGCAGTCTCCGCGGGAGACCACCGGCCTGGCCTTCTACTCCGACTGCGCCCAGCTTGCTGACAGGGCGGACAGAGCGGCTCGCTCTGACACGGGCTGAATGAAAAGTGTGCGGGACGGCTGTGGCCTGTGACGGGGGAGGAGCGGGCCGGGGCTGTACCGGGAGGCCTGGCTGGGAGCGCCTTGTGACTGAAGGCCTCTCACACCGGCTAAAAGTGCTCCGACAGGGAGGCGGCCAGAGCCAATGCAAACGCTTTAGTGGTTTGTCCCTTCTGAGCCGCGGTGAAAGAAGAGGTTACGTGGGCGGGGCGATCCGTGATTGGTTCGCGGTGTTGGTTGCGTCGGGCGGTGACTGGGCGGGGTGCTGGGGACGTCACTAGCCGGGTGGTCTGCCGGAGATTGGTCAGAAGGGTCTGGGTATGACACCGAGGGTGCATTCCTGGGACTAATAATGGGGGTGGGGGGGTGGAGCGCCCATGCGACGCCTGATTGGACGGCTAGTCTCTAGGGGGAAGTGGGCAGATCTGGGTGTTTGTCGGCAAAGTTGGGCCATTTGTAGAGCGGCTTTTGTTCTACTTCTCCATACAAGTCAATGGAGACTATAGGAGTTTATCCACTCCTATAGTCCTATAAGCTGCCTGAAGCAGGTCCCAAGGAGGTCATTCGCATCTGACAATGAAGTCTGAATGGTGGCTCAAGCCATCAACACAAACCCATAGGTTCTTGGTTTTGAAGGGAACAAGTACCAGCATGCTCTGCAAAGGGGCTTTGTTCATATGGTATCTGCTGGAAGACCGGATAATGCTGCCATTGATTGTCTATAAAAAAAGGATTGCGCTGTCTCTTTAACAGTGACGATGAATCCTAACACTGACGTACAAAGCTGTCCACCATACTGCCCCAAATTACATCACCGACCTAATATCCAAGTACCACCCAACACGCACACTCCGCTCCTCACAAGACCTCCTTCTCTCTAGTTCCCTGGTCACCTCCTCCCATGCCCGCCTCCAGGATTTCTCCAGGGCGTCACCCATCCTCTGGAACTCGCTACCACAATCCATCAGATTATCACCTACTCTCCTTTAGGTACACCCTGAAAACCCACCTTTTCAGGGAAGCCTACCCCACCCCCTGCTAATTGCCGACCTCCTCCACTCCTACCACTCCACCCCCCACAGCTATCTCCTCCTGTACCACTATCCCCTCCCTCCTAGATTGTAAGCTCAAAAGAGCAGGGCCCTCGAACCCCTCGTGTATCACATTGTATTGTTATTGTACTGTCGCATGTTCTCTCTCCCTTTGTAATGTACAGCGCTGAGCGAGCTGTTGGTGCTTTATAAATACTGTATAATAATAATAATGATTACTACATCCTACATTGCTCAAAAAAATGAAAGGAACACTTTTTAATCAGTATAGCATCAAGTCAATGAAGCCAATATCTATATGGTCAGTTAAGTAGCAGAGGGGGTTGTTAATCAGTTTCAGCTGCTTTGGTGTTAATGAAATTAACAAAAAGTACACTAGATGGGCAACAATGAGACGACTCCCAGAACAGGAATGGTATTACAAGTCATAACCACTGACATTTTTTCCCTACTCATCTTTTCTGACTTTTTCACTAGCTTTCATTTGGCTAGGGTTAGTGTCACTACTGGTAGCATAAGGCGATACCTGGACCCTACAGAGGTTGCACAGGCAGTCCAACTCCTCTATTATAGCACATCAATACATGCTATTGCCATATGGTTTGCTGTGTCTCCCAGCACAGTCTCAAGAGCATGGAGGAGATTCCAGGAGACAGGCAGGTACTCTAGGAGAGCTAGACAGGGCCGTAGAAGGTCCTCAACCCATCAGGAGGTCCAGTATTTGCTCCTTTGTGCAAGGAGGAACAGGCTGAGCACTGCCAGAGCCCTACAAAATGACCTCCAGCAGGCCACTGGTGTGAATGTCTCTGACCAAACAATCAGAAACAGATTTCATGAGGGTGGCCTGGGAGCCCTACATCCTCTAGTGGGCTCTGTGCTCCCTTCCCCGCACCATAGAACTCAATTGGCATTTGCCATTGAACACCAGAATTGTCAGGTCCACCACTGGCGCCCTGTGCTTTTCACAGATGAGAGCAGGTTCACCGTGAGCACATGTGACAGACGTGAAAGGGTCTGGAGAAGCAGTGGAGAACGTTATGCTGCCTGTAACATCGTTCAGAATGACCATTTTGGTGGTGGGTAAGTGATGGTCTGGGGAGGCATATCTATGGAGGGACACAAAGACCTCTACAGGCTAGACAATGGCACCCTGACTGCCATTAGGTATTGAGATGAAATCCTTGGACCCATTATCAGACCCCGCACTAGTGCAGTGGGTCCTGGGTTCCTCCTGGTGTACGACAATGTCCGGCCTCATGCGGCGAGAGTATGCTGGCAGTTCCTGGAGGATGAAGGAATTGATACCATTGAATAGCCCTCACACTCGCCTGACCTAAATCCAATAAAACAACTTTGGGATATCATGTTTCAGTCCTTCAACCACCACCAGGTTGCACCTCTGTCCAGGATCTCAGTGATGCCCTGGTCCAGATCTAGGAGGAAATACCCCAGGACACCATCCATTGTCTCATTAGGAGCATGCCTTAACCTTGTCAGGCATGCATACAAGCACATGGGGGCCATACAAACTACTGAGTACCATTTTGAGTTGTTGCAATGAAATTTCAGTAAAGTCTGACTAGCCTGCTGCATAATTTTTTCACTTTGATTATCGGGGTGTCTTTGCATTCAGTCCTCTGGTACGTTGATAATTTTTATTTCCATCAAACGAGGGGGCATCCTTATATTCTTTTTTTTTTTCACTTTACCTAGTCCATATCAGTATAGATATGCGGCATATTTTCCCCATTGAGATCTGATGTGTTTTCAAAGTGTTCCTTTAATTTTTTTTGAGCAGTTTACATAAATATGGAAGAACCAACAAGGTAAATACGAATCCCCTTGGAATTTTAACAGAAATAAAATAGAGAAAATATCTAAAAGACCAATTGTCAATTTTTATTCACGTAAAGACTTTAGACAAAAGGCCTATAAAATTTGATAATGGTTCAGCTAGAGTTGCACATACTATATAAAAAAACTGGACATTCAACATATACCTTTGTGGAATACAGATACGCCGATATATATGAATAAATCTTGATTGATAGCGGTAAAGTCTTCTGATAACACCCAGCATGTTTCAGAACAGACTTCCTCAGGGAACAGATGGGTATAGTAGTGATTTTGAAGAGCATGTATGCCAAATAATCTCATCCTCCAGCCTCACCTTTCTGGGTAGCAATGACCGGGCCTTCGTGCACCTGATCTCATTGATGGAAGAGAGTGAATCTGCAGATCTTATTGACAGGTTGGATATTGAATCTTTGCTAAAAACAACTAATGGTGGGTATTTGTCACCTTCCTGTGACACCCACAATGTTTCCCTCAAAAAGATCTTTTACCAATTTCCTTCGATCAACAAGATATTTTCTCTATCTTGTTTCTGCGTTTAAAGTCCCAAGGGGATTCATATGTACCTTTTTGGTCTTTCTATGTGCAATTTGGGGATGTTGGCAGTTAGCACCTGTTTTGCATCACGAGGCTCATACTTTCTTAATCCTATATAAATATAAACACTCACATACAGTATATAATTTGTGCATTTCCCCCAAGTAATAAGTGACATAATACTGATGCACACTGCAGCTCAAATGGAAAGCCCAAAAATAATCTTAAAGAAGCTTGTGCTAAAAACACACAAAAAGCATAAGCATTTTTTTCACAAACACTCTCAGCTGATTTTCCACTCCTAAAATGCATTGCAAAATTAGAAATGTTCCTTTATTACTGCAATCATCATGGATCCCTTAACTTTAATGATTCATGAAATAGTGCTACTGCCTATGTTGCGGAAGCTGCTATTTCTCAGAATGCAGCTGCAACACAGGCCAATTTGTCATCGTCACTACTGGATACCTCCTTTGCTTTTGAATCATATTCCATCTGAGCCCACTGATGCGACAACTGCAGCCACGAGATCCCAGGAACGCCTTGCATGCAGTTCATGCCCAGCGTCCCACAACTGTGGAAATTGCTGCACGGTGGCGATTAGCTGCATTTGGGTAATGTCCTTTTTGTGCCTTGGGTAATGTCCTTGGCCATTTTCCAATAACAAAAGGGTAGTAGCACAACCGGCTCTCAAGACCACATGTAGCAAAACAATAGGTGGCAGGGCTTCCGGGAACTTGTACCTCCCAGGGCTTCCAGTGAATACAGTATTTTCTTAACCACTGTATATGGGAAAAAAGGAAGCTGAATGCTCATTATAAGTGTTTCTGCATCTTTTCTGCTTGACATCTCTTCTCAGAAACATGAGTTTGGTGGGGGGGGGGTCTGCCTGTAGGATCATATGCCTGTAAATCCTGAAAATGCCTATAGTGTGCATGGACACATTGGCTAACATGGAGAGAAGTTTCCAGGCAGAGAAAAATGAAAGCGCAAGAAAACTCAAAAGCCTGTAGGAACAGCTTCTTTGAGCTGCAGTGTGCATGGGGCCTACTGTCAAAACAAGTGAAAGTCTTCAGCTTGACAAAAAGTTGCTTCATTAGTTCATCCGTGCCACCAACAACTTCACAGCTCCAACACCTACACACCAGGCTGCTTACCAGAGGCCTAGACTTCACTGCATAAGAGATATAGCTACACTGTATAGGAAAATACTTGGATCCCTGATGGATGGATGCTCTCTCCCTC